TTTACTTTTTTCGGTAATGAAACATTTATAATACATTAAAATCTAATTAAGAGTAACAACTCATTAGAATTTGTTCTGCCCCATGCTAACGTTAAGTATACGAAACTTTTTTTCTCTAATTTTTATAGTTTCTTGGAAAATGGAGTTTAAAACATTTGCCTCACCACAATATTTTGTCTTAGGAGAAATATTTTGATAACTTTTAAAATTTGATGATTCTGTGGTAGATATCAGTTTATATATCCTGTGAATTTGGCGGAGATATCTTAATTAAATGTAGTTACAGAAATATAGTGTACCTATATTTTGGATAGCCTCCCCCCTTAAATAAGAGTATGGTTTTAAGTCAATAAAAGTGATCTTATAGATTTTAAAACGTAAAACAAACATTCACGAAATAAGTATTCATGATATATTGAGATGCAATGAAGATGCAATGAAATGAAATGAAATGGGGTTTAACGTCCTACTGTTCTGCTCCTAACCTGGGCTAATGAAGACGGGCATACGCCATACAGTGTGCTATAAAGGAAATTTTGCCCGGACAGCGGCGCAACGGCCAACTATTATATAAAATTCCAACTGCCAAGGGATCTTTTAAGTGCATGCAAATGTGGACACGGGACCTCGGCTTTTCGTACCATCCGAATGACTAGACAGCTGTCCTTGTCAGGCCCTCCATCCTGCATCACTGACATGGGGAAACCACACCGGAAAATCTGAATGAACTTTCTCTGCCAATGCAGGGATCGAACACCCGACCTCCAGGCTAGCTAGCCAGCGTCTTACCCACTTAGCCCCGTGATCTCCCAATGAAGATGCAGCACGTTTATAATTGGAAGATTGTAAATTTAACAATTCGGAATTTACTATAACATCACGAAGATAACATGTGATAATGATGTTTTCATGAATGAGTCAATGCACCACACATCAATTCTCTAAAACCCCAAAAATTGTATTCAACATGTTGAAATCAGAATTTAATGGTGCAGACAGGGGTATAATTTGTGCCTTTAAAAAAGATAGGGGAAGTACAACTAATACAGTTCTGCAGAAGACACAAAGATATTCCAAAATTGACATCAGCACAATGTGCCACAGTCTGTGTTAATTCAAAACAACAGGAGTACAGCAACATCCCTCAAGCAACCATTCAGAGGATTATCTCTGCGACATTGCAGGGCATCTGCTGGAGGAGGACACAAATGTTACTGACTTTTGATAGTTACCCCCTGTGTCTAAGGTCTATGCAGGCTTACAATCATGCCAAAAATGATCTGCATAATGTCCTTTCCAGAAAATTGGTGATGCATTTTCATTGTGCACCATTATCAGTAAAAATTTGTATAATTACTATATAGATCTATAAGTATAACAGTTCTAGAGTATAATAGATCTAAACATTCATTATATTATCAGTAAATAGATCTAAACAACATGTATTTTTAAATGACTTTAAAAGATGAAGATGATGAACTAGAATTCTCTGGTGACTTAGAACATTAATTTCCATAAAAGTTTTTGCTTTGTACAACTAAAAGCATTTTCTTGTCACCTGATGTCTTTTTTTCTTACTGACTTTTAACATTTTCTTTTGTAGTATTTTTGAGATTAACATTTAGAGAGAAAATGCTGGCGAATAGCCATTCCAGTTTGTGAAACAAATTACAAAGCATTATCTGCATCATTACACTCAAAAGGTATTAGCTAACAGTTTCAATTCTTCAGTAGAATATTTATTAAGGAGACATTCTTTTAACCATATAACCCACCATTACTACAATCAGCTTCAGAGAGACTACTTGTGCATTCAATTTCCAAGAGATGGCATTTTCATGTTATCTTGAAAGCCACTTTTATTAAGAGTAACTATTGTATTGTAATTCTTTTATCTTACAAGTTAAAGGGAGAGTGGAACCTAAAGTACATATTCTAATTAAAGATAGGTTGCCAGGCAACGAAACATACGCCCACAGCAGTTACATCGTCCGGGCAGTCAACAAGAGTTGTCGCATATTTTTACTTTTTCTGTAATGAAACATTTATAATACATTAAAATCTGATTAAGAGTAACAACTCATTAAGTAATTATCAGAAAACCATTAGAATTTGTTCGGTTTTTATAAAGTTCTGCCCCATGCTAACGTTTAGTATACGAAACTTTTAACATCATGGATTTAGCTGTTTAAGTCATAAAGATTCATTGAAAATCTATATACTTGTTCGTCTCAAGACCTTAAACACTGTGTATAAATTTAAAATCAATCGGATATAAACTTTAGCATCTAGAGCGTCCTCAAGATTTTTGGCAAAAATTATCGGAAATCGCTGAAAATCAATAGGATTCTTCGTCTCATGACCTTTAACACTGTGTATAAATTTAAAGTCAATCAGATATTAACTTTAGCCTCTAGCGTGTCCACAAGATTTTTTGAAGTGATCAAGGGCCATAACTCTGGCAGTTATTATCGGAAACAATAATTTTAGACAATCATATTTCAATTTGTTATAACCCCTAAACCACACAGAATTGTTATCCACAATCCACTATAAATAGGCTGTTCCCATGATCTGAACACCGACTTCAAATAAAATATGTCCGATATTAATGGAGTGAAATAAAAAGAAAACCCACAAAAAAACATAACATGTTTTTAATGTGATTGAAAATATACATGCACAATGAAGCAAAAGAAATGTGGAACCTACACCAAGACATTGATTTGGAAATTGTGGTAATTTACTCATTTCGCAATCCAGTTGGTAAAAACCTGTGTCAAAGCTAGATTTTTCCCTGCATTTTTTTTAGTGGAAACAGCTTTATCATAACAATGCAGTAATGCCAATGCTAAATACAAAGTTATTCCAAAACTGTTATCTACAGGTAGTTTAGGTTATTCTTCAGTATATTATAATAATACAGATCTACTCTGGTCACTATTGTGTAAGTAGATTAAGTCTAAAGAGAAGTCTAATGTTTGATTTACATGTACATCTAAACGAATGGTGCTACATATAGTTTTCAACAACCAATAGATGTGGTCAGGAATTTTGTTCAGGGAATTAATTGCTCTGGACATGTATATATAATTCATTTGAACCTGGAATATGTCTTCTGGTTAGAGAATTATTCATTAACTCTACAACACTAATTAAAAACCTTCTATTTCTCAAGCTGGATTTAATCGATCCTATAATTTGATACAGATCTACATGCATGTATCCAATTCGTTATCTAAGCTCATGGGCCATGAAATGTTAACAGACAACTATCGGTTATTGAAAAGAGTGAAAATAAAAAGGTTATAAAGCACAGACGAGTGAGCTGGCAGATAGTATAACAGTATGGGTAATCTGCTACCAGGTTTTTTTTATTGTTATTGATTATCAATAAAACAACAGAGGAAGCACTGTATCCAATACTCTAATATTTACTCTATTAAACTTGGTATATGTAGTAGAAGAGTTTGTCAACAAGAGATAAAAAGCATTACCCCTACTTCATTTTACATATTACTGCATTGACCCAATGCCCCAATATAAAGACTAAATATAGAATTTTATACAATCAAAAATACATTTATCAAAGAAACAATTTGTTTAAAAAATTAATCAAACTGCACAATATTCCACATTAAAAGACAGACACAGGCATTACTTTCAGTACAAACACAAATAAGGTATTCTTATCAGAAAGTATAGAATTCAAAACATTATCAAAATCAATCACTCCTAATATCAGATAAGGCCATACATAGTCCTATAAAATTTTAACGATTTTGTAACCTAGAATTAGAACGTCAACCAGCTACCCATGAATTTCACATTTCTATCCTGGAGTTTGGAATACACATATGGAAAGGGAGAGAGAGAAAGAAATGGGGTTTAACGTCCACTCGACACAAACTAGGTCATTTCGGGACTAACATATGGTTTAATTTTATTTCAATAATCTGCTTGCGCATAGGGGGGTCTTTAGCAGTGGGAGGAAACCGGAGGACCCGGAGAAAACCCACGAGGTTGGACAGGCGACCCTACTCCTTGTCACGTACAACCGGGGATTCAAAACCACGCCAGTCGACTCAATGACAGACTTTGTAATACAGCGCGTGCACGCTAACCATTCAGCCATCCAACCCCTCTCATATGGAAAGGGTGTAGTGTAACTGATTATAAATTACAACATCTAGTATTATAGAAAACTTGTATTGAACACATTGACTAATTAAAACATTTTATTGTTCTATGTTACTATGTCTATTAACTGGTATGGAACTGAAGATCTCCTCATATTCATGGTTATTGAAGTTATTCAGTCAGGCAAAAAAAACGGTTGACATTGTTGTAATAAACTTTGATTAAGTGCGACATGCTTCAGATTAAGAGAGTATTCATATTCTATTCCTGGTGATTATTATGAAATGTCAAGTTTTATTTTGTAGTTGGTCGACATTATTACATTCTATTAGCACAATATCTATAATATCTTTTATAGCTATACATAAAATATGGCATTTTGTGGTTATTGTATCTCTATTCTCACTGATGCTCATTCTCTAGAGTGATTTGTTGATATGCATCAGGGCCGTTCATATTTTGAAATACAGTTAAAAGATCTAAACATAATTTTAACTTTAAGTCTGCTTCACAAAGGTAAAATAAGTCAAAATCACCTAACCCAGCATAACATCTCAATGTCATATCATGTCATGTCATTGTTGTCATTTACATGCCCTTGTTATGTCATATCTTAACATGAATATATTTCAATACAATGAATATAAAGCCTTATATTCATGTATATTATATTATCTACATGTAACTAACAAAAGGTGGACCATCTCCTTTAATCAAAAAGTTTCATGATTGTAATTATTTATTCATACCTGACAAAATATTAATTTTATTTCCTACATTCCATACTGTACGACTAAAGCTCAGAGTGGTACATACAGTCCATGATGCATTAAAAATAAAAAAAAGAGTTTAATACTTACTCGTTTGTGGAGGACTAACTGAATAAGTCTGATCATTTATTGATAAACTAAAATTATTTCGTAACAAGATATCAATAGTTGTTGATTTAGCTACCCGGCTTCCATCTGTAAATAAACAAAGTTAAAAAAAATAAATAATTAAAAATCAGCAGCCAAATGGCTTTGTGTAAAGAAAGGAAACCTACATGTACTACTCTTGGCAACTGTAAGATTACATAGTTTGATCAAATCTATTCATTTCAAATTCAACAAATAAAAATGTAACTGAAATTTACATGAAAGTTTGTTTACAGGAGAACTTTGTATATTTCCTCTTGAACTCGTGGATGTTTTCTGCTTTAAAATGGTTTAATCAGAGCAGTCTGGAGGAGAGTTGACTTAAGATTTCAAACCTGATTAAATGCAATACCTTCCAGAAAGAAGGCGAGACACAAGTTTCTGGTTTGTGATTATCTTGTAACTTTATTTCCTAAGTCTTATAAAATTGAATTAAATTTGAACCAGTCTTTATACCTTAGTCCTCAAGATGAACATGAAGGAATGTAATGTTAAAGAACATTTTAATCATCTCAATTTTATCTTAAAATGTAACTAGCACTTTTAACAGGAAAGTAAAATCGTAATTTGTTGTTTCGATGGGCAAAATAAAACCACAAACTGATCTACAGTAAAATTCCATTTGGCCACTACAATTACTGAGTGCGATAAAATAGAGTGGATTTAATGAGGTGCCAATGTTAAAGATACACTGTCCCGAAAGTATTTATCAGGTGTTTATTTCCAATAAAATACTGGATTACCCAAAATATACCCATGGGACAAACACTGGGCAAAAATGTTAGGGTATCACTAACTGGTAACCCGACTGTTGTCTGCTAGCTTATTGTATGCTAGCTTGACTGGGGGAAGCGGTTGTTATTTCTTGATCAAATGGTTAGGTGGTTTTAGGAACATTGAGGGGTGTCAACGAACAAAAGACTCTACAATTAAACGGCAGAAAAAGAAGTTGACCTAAAATAATTAAGAATTTACTTAGGCCACAATATGTATGATAAATGGACAGTAAGTAATGAAAAATACATTCTGAAAAATGGACATCTAACAACAGTTTATTTATTAGCCTGTGGTATCTTCCCATGAAACCAAAGTTTTAAGAGGGATTTGAAGCAAATTTTTGACAGATTAATTAGTTTGAATATGTTTTTAGTCCAAATATACCATCAAATCACATTTTGTAAACAGGAAAATATCTTTAATTTGCTGCCGCTAAAATTCTTAAACTTTTTTTGAAATATTTAAAAAATAAATGAAGCATTTCAAAGTTGATTTGAAGCAAACATATATCATGGTTATTGTAAATGCTCTAACAAATTAGTCTAGAAAGTAATAATTTAGCACGGGCCATAGTATGCACAAGTCTAAAAGGTGATAATTCAGCACAGGCCAGTTACTTTTATGGAACAAACTAATTTATGATTTTTATCAGGTTGACATCGATTTTTACTTATGTTGTAGCCTATCATAACACATTTGTACCATTGCTAATGAAAATGGATAGCAGCATTTATTAAATTCAGAGCAAGAAATGTATTCCTGACTTCCTGTTCACTATTACCTTGAATTTTATAAGCTAGAGTTCTTTGAAATGTTAGCCATAACCATTTAATCAATTGGAAATGCCAGTAAGGCATATTAGGGTAATACTCTAGTAAATGCTTTGCATCATGGCGTCAACCTAATGAAATAAATATGTATTAAAGTAATTCAGCTACTTAAATTTAATAAAAAAATCATTAGCTATTGAGGATAATAATGGCGAACAGATATAGGGAAGGAAATCGATGTGCTTGTGTCTCTTCAAAACCAAAAATTAAGTAAAAGCGAATGGAGAAGACTTCCATATGTAATAAATGGATACTGGGTAGCCCGATTTGATTAAACATAGCAATAATATATCTATATAAATGACAAGAGATTTCTGATAATTTAATTAACAGATTCCTGGTCATTGTCTCTACATCTATTTCACTCAATAATAAGTAATTTGTTTGATAGAAGTGTGCTTCTATTCCAAGTGTATAAAAGGTCTTCCTGAACTTGTATTACATGTATATTTCTGTGTAGATATTTAATATTAAATGATGATAATTATTTCACATTTTAATCAAACACAGCATTCATTATCTGCATAATCTTTCCTGTTATATGATACACCTATAATATTTTTTTTACAAAATTAATACATCTTTGAGCAGCATTTCACGTTTGACACGTAATAAACCCAAAAACATAATATGGAACATAATTACTATTTTAACTAAAGTGAGGGTTTAGCTGAGTTCTCTCCCAACATTATCAAGCAAATTTATTCTATGTATTGTAAGTTTAATTTCAAAATCGAAGTACATGTATTATTGCTGTTTTTTGCCTATGTGCTGACATAAAGTTATATCAACATAAATTCAGGTTGTGCTCTCACTATTCAATCCTTTTCTGAATTAAGTGAGATATGCAATTTGTCAGTGTCAATCACAATCGGGAGAAAGACATACAAATTTTTAAAAATTATCTGCGTTCAGTTCAGATTCAAGGTCAGTCAGCACAACGTTTATTTCGAGACATAACTTAATGCCAGTGGATCTACATGTATGCTGTTGTGAAAGAAGTTTCCACACTTTTTCAGTGTGAACACAATATTAATTTTAAGTGGGGCAAAAGGTTAAGAAATTTGATTAAATCTGAATAAATCAGCTTGATATTAAAATAAGGATATATTTATTAATTTTAACATTATTCACGTTTATACAATGAGTTACATTAAGTTGACCTGAATCCAATATACTATTAGAAAAACGTACATTATTGTGTGTAAATAGGCGATATTTTATTAATGGTACTTCTACATGCATATAATATTGATAGGTTTTTATTTCAATACATTAAATCCACAATCTACATGTCTCGTGTCTATTGTATGTTTGTACATGCCGTTTCATAGAAGTAATGTTTGGTCTCTGAAGATTGCCAAATCAGCAAGAAATTATTATTATTAATTATTTTTTATTACTTTATTAAAATATTAGTTTACAGTACATTCCATACTCAGATGATATTGAATTCAGATTATTTTCCTCGCTGTCAATTACTATAACCTATTGAATAAAATGGCCTTGATAATCTAAGCCTGTTATCAACAGGTTTAGTGTGACTAATTTCAGTCAAGAGCAGTTAAATCACATAGCTTTGTAAAATAACCAGGTGTGATGCTTATAAGGCAGTCACGATTTCAGTGTATTTTTAGTGCACTTTTAAACAGTTATATTATATGTGTAACATTATCTAGAGATGATACATATGAATATCGTGGCATTATTTTCATTGTGAGCCACCCTCTTTGCTAGACAAGGGGGAGAGAGAGAGAAATGGGTTTAACATCCACTCGACACAAACTAGGTCATTTTGAGACTAACATATGGTTCAATTTTATTTCCATAATTCGCTTGCACGTAGGGGTTTTTAGCAGTGGGAGGAAACCGGAGGACCTGGAGAAAACCAATGAGGTTGGACAGGTGACCCTACTCCTTGTCACGTACAACCGGGGATTAGAAACCATGCCAGTTGACTCAATGACAGACTTTATGATACAGCGCGCACGTGCTAATCACTAAGCCATCCAACCCCCCTTGGTAGACAAGGAGGAATACATGTCAGATGAGACACATGTTATAAGAATCAGGAAATTATAGCTATATAGTATGGTACTATGAATACTATATAATGTAAGATGAGACACATGTAATAAGAATCGGGAAATCACATCTAAATAGTATGGTGCTATGATGTAAGATGAGACATGTTATAAAGAATCAGGAAATCATAGCTAAATATTATGGTACCTACATGCTGTTTCATTTGTATATGACAGACATATCGTACTCAATCGGACATCAAGATATGGTGAATCATATTCAAAATTCTAAAAAATATTTACTTTACTGGGGTTAATAACTATTACATACATGTATCTCTAATGTCAATAATAGAAGACTAGATTGATTATGTAATTAAGTGATTTACCCCTTTATGGTGTAATACACCTACTTTAATTGATTAACTACTTAATCTGCCTTGATTGACTTCCTCAATCTACGCTATTTCCTTTATATCTTAATTCTGAAAAGGATTTGTGGTTTCTCCTTTGTCAGACATTTTGATTTCCTTGATGTAGGTCGAAGAGATGATAAAACTAGTCAAAGATTATTACTTGTTGATTAGGCAGTCAACAAACTTGTCAGCTAACCATTAACATTAACAGTCATTCAGTTCACGATCTAAGTAATTTGTACAAGTGGTAATTTTGATAATCCCTTAAATATACAAACTTAATAATTATTCACAATAAGCATTGCCCGTCATAAGAATTGGCCACATATTCCCGCCTGGCACCTCATTACACAATATTTTAATCGTTTCCAGTCACTGGAAACAACTATACGAAAAATATTTAAAGATACATTATGGGAGATTCGATAGCAAGTTGGCAGTTCTCACTATAATAGTTAAAAACTAGATAATGTAATAGGCAATTTGCTTAAAATTTCATTCAAATTGATCCACTATAAACCAAGAACTAAGCGATTGAAATTTCCGCCTAGCCTCGATCACCATTACTAAAGTCAGTACGATAAACAGCATAGTCTCGATTATCCATTTAATCGTTAAATCGTGAAGGAAACTTATGCAGTAAATCGGCTCATAATCCACTAAAGATCCCAGGCTAGCGATGCCATCAAGAGTTAATTATGGTCTGGATAGGTTAATAAATGTCTAATTAATAATTTAGATAACATTTCAGGCCTAAAGAAAGACCTGCAACAGACAAATTTAGCTCTTGCATAATGTATGTTTAAGTTAACCCCAATAAAATTGTCAGAGGAGGAAAATATTGAAATAACATCGCTGGTATGATTTAAGATAAGACATGTTATAAGAATCAGGAAATCATCACTAAATAGTATAAGAATCAGGAAATCATACTGGTAAGATGACAATAGTTGTGAATAACTATTATATACTGTATTACATGCTGGAGGCTGAAATTCTATAAATTAATGACAATGGTTCTGAAACGGAAAAAGGAAAATGCAACCTTTATCAAGTCTTTGTGGGTTAGCAACAGAAGCTGCGTTGTTTTGCATTCTGCGTTATTGAAACAACTAATTAGGACCTGGTTCCATTTAAAACGTTGTATCAAGACAGCAGTATTTTGGGATGATATACAGAAGAAATAACACTTTCAATTTGTCAAAAATCTTCAACTGGTTCCCTGTTTAAAGATACATTATTCAAGAGCTAAATTTACCTGTTGCAGGCCTTTCTTTAGGCCTTAAATGTTATATAAATTATCAATTAGACATTTATTAACATGCCCAGACCATAATCAACTCTCTAGGCCACCGGATGGCTCTGATTTTTAAGTAGATTAGAACAGTTCGTCCATTTAATAATTTAATTTAAAAATGGAGAAGCGAGGCTAAGTCTGGAATATACCAGTACTGTGGTTACGATAATAAACAATCAATGCACACACCTTGACAAATCTACAAACAGTGATAACTTGGCTCAGAATAAAGTAATTTGAACGAAATTTTCAATATATTAATTTTGCATTATCTATTTTTGAACTATTATAGCAAGAACGGTCAGTTCTTTATCTAAATCTTACATAATGTATCTTTAAGTCCCTGCATCTGATTTGAGCTATATAGAAATCCTTTGAAACCACAATATTGTGAAGTTGAATTACTAACAGGAACATCAGTCCAAAACAGGTTCAATTCCTTCCGTTCAGTCATAACAAAGATATGATACAAAGTAAAATTCCACCCATCTATGCCGCCCCTTACATGCATGTAAATGGTACACTTTTTCTATTATCTCTTGTTTTTCTTGACGGAATCTGTTGACAAAACAATCAACATTTCTTTGAAGTTGAGCTTTTTGCCATTTTACGATCTACAATAAGCTGGTCGCAAATTAAAAGTTTGTTTATTGTGGGATGATGACATCATGGAATTATAATAATGAACTGGGGTTTAACGTCCTACTGTTCGGCTCCGACTGGGCTTATGAAGACAGGCGTACGCCATACAGTGTGCTATGAGGGAAAGTTTGCTCGGGTAGTAGTGCTACGGTCTACTCTTATTCTTATTGAATTCCAACTGTCAGGGGGTCTTTTATGTGTACATCAGGCCCTCCATCCTGCACCACTGACAAGGGGAAACCATGCTGGAAAATCCTGATAAACTTTCTCGGCCAACATCATGGAATAAAAAAAAATGGCCGCCGCTATCTTAATGTGTACAAAAAATCTAACTGATGGGCCTGTTTTTAATGTGATCGAGACCAAGAAAGATTATCAAGCTTAGATATTTTTATTTTGTTTTCTTAATTAAAGTAATCAATCTGAGTACATATTAGCGTGGATTAAGCTGTATGAAATTTGATATTTTCCGAAAAATGCAAATAAGGCTGACCTTAAAAATATCTTTGTTTCGCCTAACGCGACCGACTAACTAAAACCACCCCCGACTTAAATTATTTTATTGCACTTTCCGCGATCTTTTTATTTTATTTTGTGTGTCAACCTGAAATATATCACGAGAGTTATTTCCCTTTACTATGGCTATGGTTTGATTCATTATTGAAACTGGTTGATCAAGACGAAAGCGTCATAGGTGTCGCTTCTCAACAAAATGGTTGCAGACGAAAGCACGTCCATTCCCACGAAATGATTCTGCCTCTATGTCTGTGGGGCGTCGTTTTAAACATGACGACGATATTTTCAATATCCGTTTTCGAGAAAAATGAAGGCACAACCCGCACGATCGTTAAAAACGTGTTGAGGGAGTTTCAAACGTGAGTTTGTCGCAATTTGTGTGTGAGTCGTGCATCAAGAAAAATCCCGATGTCATTGATTTGTTTGCCAATAAAATAAGACGAATGTTTGCACCCGGAAAATTATCAAGCTGTCAAATTAGCTCTTAAAAAAAAAATCTGAAAAAAACCCGACCTACCGACCCTTCTCCTCGATTGTGGGTCGGGTTTGGTGAAACAAAGATATTTTTAAGGTCAGCCTAATGCAGTTACTTTAAGAAAGGGAACCTAAAGTTTTTGTTCTATTTAAGATAACTTTCAGGAACATATAATACCACAAGGTGCAGAAAAGTATGTGTTAATATTTTGACATAAATTTTAATCAATAAAAACATTGTTCCTTCACCACACTTCTGAAATAAAATGGTCTATTTCCAATTTTTCCCTTGAAGGTTCTTTTGCTCAAGAATTGCTAAATTACCATCAAGTGTTGACATTTGATAATAAACTTCCGTTCAATAGTTAGTATATTTGATAATAAACACAAGTACGCATCTATGTTGGCTGAAAATGGGCTTCGATTTTAACTTAAGGGAAATACTTTCATACTGGAGGCCAGACAGAAACTATCTACAGTTTCTATAGTTATATTCATCTTGTAACTTAAATATTTCCGATGAGTCCGAGTTATGAAAGTGAAAAAAGTATAACCAAAATTTGTTAGACATTTGAGCTCCAGAAATGGACATGGTCACGGATGTTCTAGTATAGAGAGTAAACATACACACCGGGCTAAGCATGACACCAAAGCATCTATACACACACTGCCTTGAAAGGGAAATACATGCACATGTAACTAAGCAGGGATATATCTATATAAATACATGCACATGTTCAAGTAAAACATAAAGATGAGTGCTTTAGAGCAGAGCATTTATAATTATATAACATGTGCATTGAAAATGATAAGAGGTGTACAAGTACGACCATACACTGACTTACATATACGCCAATGTAATTCAAACAACCTCACTTTGCAAATGGAGTGATCAACAAACCTGCAGAAGTATATTGATAAATTGGTCTTGACAGAATTACCAAACAAACTTGAAACACTCAAAACACAGTTGCATCCTGCACTGATTCTTAACAGCTGCTTATGATCAAGCTTAATAATTTCTTTCTTATAGTCTGTTTCTAATAATCAAAGGTCAAAACTAGTTTCTTACACAGATTATAAAGTTTTAACATAACTTTGTTACATGTAGTTTCTTGTTATAAATCCATGTTAAATCAGCAAATTAACATAATGTTTGTAATTTTATAGTGATGTAAATCATGTATTCCAAAGTACTATGAATTTATTGCAGTCTACCACAGAAATCTATACTGCTATTATTAGACAGGAAATGAAGGATGGAAAATCAGCAAATGGGCTGGTATGATATTATAAACTGTGAAGGACATTCAGCCAGCTTTTCCCTTGAAAGTCCCTTTGGTCTAGTTATAAGTATATTGATTTGTACCAGTACAACATGTATATATTCCAAACATAAACTCTTGTGTTTGATGGAGAACCTTTAGCATTGGATTTTAAGAATGTCCTTCTGGTCTTGTCTTTTACATCTTGAGTTTCAAATAACGCTCTTATTTAATTTTATTTTACAGAAAAGAAGATATTCTATGGACAAAATTTCTTCAGAAACAATTCTGATTTTAGCCCACTTTTGTAACTCAATATTAGATTTTTTTTCTTTCTAATAGAATCCACTTGTATTTTGCATGAGTTTCTAGTTCTATTTAGAATATGCTTACATGTATACGCATGACATGTTGTTTTATTATTTCAATAAACATGCAATTTGTCATCTGCATTTTACCAAAACAGCACCCAATTTTTCCGTCATATCACATTGAAATCATATGAAAAATACAACCCCTGGGTCATCAACAAAATTAAAATTTATTCTATGCTGTATGTAATAATTTATCATAGTATTAACAATATATGTACCTACCTGGTGTATATACAGCAGATCTATCAATACCTCCATCTTCTTCTTGTATAAATTTTAAGAAATCTCCAACAGTATGAGTTATAGGCTTTAAGGTGAATTCACAGCTTTCACGTCGCGATGGTAAAGGCACAGATATAACAGGGAGACCATCTCGAAATTGAACTGTCACATCTTTGAGAGAAAAAAATGTATTTATTATAAATTGATTTTGTATCTCGCTGATAAAAAGATTACATTTAATTTTTTTCATCAAAATATGATATAAAGTGGAAATCAACACCACCCATTATTATAAAAATGCTGATTATTTCTCACACCTTGTTGCTTCCCACTATCTATATCAAATATCTGTATCAATTCATTAAATTATTCAATAAGCTATAATTTAGTCTAGATATCAATACCATGAGTAATAGCATAGCACCTACACATTAATTGTATGTAATAATGTAAATTTTGACAAGATGAATTTAATGATTGGTGATTATTATTCAAGCTTTGTCGACACCAAAGTTGTTATTACTGTATAATTTATAAATCTCAATTCATTAAAAACTTACCATTTCTGAACAAAACTTGTGTGCAGTAAAAATAACAAGGACAACTAAAATCCTGAATTGTTGGACTGGTAATCTGAAAAAATAAACACCAGAAATAACGTAAAAATAAACGTACATGTACATGTAGTAGGCAGTAGTTCTATTTGAGAATACAAAAGTTGACACAATTATCTCTTTGATTGTTATTTTGAATATTAACCTCATTCATATTTCAATATTTTATGCAAGAAAAACAATAATACACAATGAAACAGTTTATTACTGCTAGATTCAACATTAAAATTTATTATGGAACTTGCAATGTTGAGAGTAGGCTCTGATTGCCATGTCTGTTGTATGAATCCAGAATCAGTTAACTCCTTAAAACAATCATCAATCACATGGTGAAACTTTCAAAGTTCGGATTAATCAATGTACACATGTATCAAAGTTTATCTTAACTCCTTTAAATGTCCATCAAACACTTGGCAAAACTTTTCAAAGTTGAGACACGTGTTTATACTAATATAATATGCACGCACATGCTTTGTTATGACAACTGGAGGAATAATCACTTTTGAAGACAATGGTGTTTTGCTCTTAATCTCCCTTCATTAGTATGTCAGATATACATGTAGACCTCTCAACCCTGTCATTAGTTATCCTCCCATCCAAATGACTAGATGCTGCTCCTTGTCAGGCCCTCAATCCTGCACAAATGACAAGGGGAAAACATGCTGGTAAAAACAGTCCAGACTTTAGGATTCAATTAAATCTAAAATTCAATTGTAACATGGATCATTTTAATCAACAGCGGCAACCTCATTTTGCAGGGAGTCTGTCCTTTTTCTAAAACATCTGATATCACTTGTCCTTTTAGTTCATAGTGCTAAAAGGACACTGTTTGTTCAACATGTTTAAAATTGATTAATTTAGTTTCATATATTACTACACTTACAGTAGTTTGCCAATGTGGCAAAACATAATTTTATTTATGAGAATGAAATTAGATGAGATGATTTACTTGTACACCTACAATTGTATGACTGTGCAATGTAAATGTATGTGGGTTGTTCAAAAGAATTCTCTGAGAAGAAATGAATCAATCCAATGAAAATTGATTTATTTGTACTAAATGCAAGGGACACAGATGACAGGTAGGTACATGTATATATAGTACCATGCATGTGATATCACTGATATCAATAATCAGTTTTTCATATATTGTTCTCTGTAAGAATAAAGTGATCAATAAAATTGTTAATTGAAATCATGTACGCCTACATGTACATGACTATATCTATAAGTATCTAGCTTTAGATTCTAGGAGGTTTGGTGGCCGTATGGTTAACCTCGTGCATGTTGTATCATAAGGTCTTGCATTGAGTCAAGTGGCTTGAAAAGGAGTAGGGTCGTCTGTCCAACCTTGTTGGTTTTCTCTGGATCCTCTGGTTTCCTCCAACTGCTAAAGACACCTATGCGCAAGCGAATTATTGAAATCAAATTAAACCATATGTTAGTCCGGAAATGACCTAGTTTGTGTCGAGTGGACATTAAACCCTCTCTCTCTCTCTCTCTCTCTATTTTAAATAATAAATCATACAAGTAATTAGCTTTCAGCAGTATAGGTTTTGTTTCACTTTTTGTTGCAAAATTTTAACTTTGCAAATTACAAATAATTTCATTCAATAATTGGTAATTATAATTATTTCACCTCTAAAAGAATAGTTTTTGAATACCGGTACAGTATGTTAAATTCAGGAGCTAGCATAAATTATAATTTCATTTCCATAAATGCAACAGATGTAAACTTATTAAACATTGGGCTTATTAAAGTAACGATGCAGAGTTTGCATTTTTTTGATAAAATATCACACTTTAATTACACGGGTTAATTTAGATAATATGTACCGGGTACTCAGATTGATTATTTACATCTAATTAAGAAACAAAATCAAAATACTAACGCTAGATACATGTAATGTCAAGAGGAAACCACAAAGGAATTATGGAACTTTCTCAGTCAACAACAAGAGTGAACCCAAGATCTACAGGTTAGTGAGAAAGTGGCTCCAGGAAGGTAAAAACAATGCAAAAATATATAATGTAGCTTTTTCAGTCATTGTTTTTTAAAGCTAGCGATCGCTCTCGAGCGTCTGCCGCTCACCTGTATGTTGACCAAGGGGAGGTTTTTTTCCCCTCCCCTCAAAATTGAAAATCGCTCTCCTTTACAAAGTCATTTGAGTTTTATTATCATTTGTGAAACCAGGAATGACCCCATTACATGCAGTTATTGATCTTGAGAACCATTTCCCATGCACATAACTAATCACTCTCCTTAATTTCTAAATCATTCATCTTATCGAAACTGGAGGAGCTTTCTTAGGGGATTGATTTTGTCAATTTGTTGATTGGGGGGAGCTTTCTTAGGGGATTGATTTTGTCAATTTGTTGATTGGGGGGAGCATTTTTCGGCTCTCCTATGAAATACAAACAACAACGACTGCTTTTTAAAATCACTCAAATAATAGTAACATGCCGCTGTGGCATATAATATCTCTGGCTCTGATGAACACTGATGGTTGGTACAGTTTAGTATCAGCAATGCAAAATGCACTTCTCAGCAATTTTTTTTTCAAATCTCCAATAGATTTATCAATAAATTTAGTGAAAGGATGGTTTGTAAGTGTGAGACAATGTGAGTGATATATGTATTATATATTGATGAAGCTCTTACATACAGACCATACAAATGATAAATAAATCAAGTGTAGGATAGATATAGTACAGTGAGATGTGTTAAATGACATGCCTAACAAAGTGTACATTATTTTATCAAGAGCATTATGTTATATACATGTAACTAATAACATTTTGGCATAATCGTGGTTTCAAAACATCTTCTTATCATATGCGCATGTACAGTATACCTACATGCATGGCTGAACACTGGCCAATGGCACTGGGTCGCTGTAGGCATTTTTCTGGTACTGTACAGGTACATGTAGTATGTGCCTTACATTAGACATACATGACTTGCAGTAATTCCATCAAGATATATAACCTGATGTGGGGGTGGAGGAGGCACAGCTTAATGGCTATTTTTGTCACTGCAATTTGGCTTTCTTTACAGTAGTCATTAGTCAATCAATATTGTAGGCCCTTATGCTAGTGTAGTGTGCTGCATGTTTCAATAAAACACTGACCTAACTTATAATTTCCATAATATTTAACTGAAAAGTTTCATCTGCTCTATTATTATAGCCTTTATTCAACCAGTCTACTCTTACTATGTAACTTATTGGAAAATCATAAAAACACAAGATTTAGGATGGAATATTTTTCAATTTTACACACATGCAACCAACTTAATGTTTTGTACATGTATACTATGATGAGAAAACAGTAAAAAAGCTATCTTAAAGGAGCTAAATCGCTAACATTGGGGACCTAGAAATTGACAAAAGTGGGTCGCAACGCATATAATACTGTAATATGAATGTATATAAACTGATTTACATTCAATGGTTTCCGTTTTTACTCCAATTTCAAATCAGTTATGTTCAGCGAAATAAGCCAGCAGTCTCGAGCGAGTGCAAATTTCTAGCATCTGGATATTCCAGTCTACATATGCTATTTGATTAGGTGCAATGTGTCTAGCCTCGTCCCTCAAGTCTCTTGATACAACTGGGGCTGAAGCGTATTAAGGTACACGATTCGTGTACCAATGGTAAAATGTTTATTTTGTCTTAAATATTGGATATCAAAAGCCCATCTTTTTCAAGTAAGATCACAACATGAATGTTGATTTAATTTGACAAATAAATCGTGTTTTCAATGTTGAAGATTTTGGATGATATTGAGTTAGAGACTTAGCTACTTTAAAGCATTCATTTTACTTAATGTATGAAGTGTTAAATAAAATCCCCAGTTTATAACAAAAGTCAACTTATGCAAATAGGTCAACTCCAAATAAATTTGAGTGAATCCTGACAAAACATTGATCTTTTCTACATCTTGATAAGGATGGAAATGGTAAGACATTTCATAAGGAAGTGTTTGGTCATACATGTATATCACTCATCTTACAAGGAAGGTCATGTGACATCAGTTAGATTACATGTAGAAGGTGGGCACTACACTCATGCATCTCATCAAAAAGGAAATATAAGCCGTATCATTTAGCTCTTGAGGATCACATTTATTGAATAAACTGGTAATCCTCTGTGGACCGTATGTATAAATCACATTAATAATATTTAATAATACTGGAACTAAAATAATATTTGCAATATATAGCTATCATAGATTCTTTTATTTATTCATCATATATGCAGGCACTAACATCACACATACATTGAATAACAGTTTGGGTTTGAGGATTAACCTCAGAATCTGTCCACATTTTTCTAACTTTATGTACGTACCTAATATAGGTATAAATGTTAGTTCAAGTTGTGAACAGATTCTGACATCAAGCCCTTAAGTTGCTTGGTTTAGCAGTTAGACAGATTGTGAAAATTCTCAAATTTATTATACATGTAGTGTACGTGTAGGTAGGTGTTAGTTTTCATTTTCATATAAGCTTAGCTTTTTTATAGATTGTTTCTTGCTGCAACCGTAATATTGTCTGTTGATTTCAAATGCAACAATTTATACATATTAAAACTAATATAACTCAATTGAGTTTTATAGAAATCTGGTTAGAATAGGTCAGTTTCGATCAGAATTAAAGTAATATATCTCAATTTATCTTTACAAACATTACTGTAGTAAACATACCGGTAGCCTACATAATACTATGTCATGTAATGATAATGTTGAATAACAAATAACAACAGCTCAAGCAAGCATACCACTAAACTCGGACCTGTTCTAGCCAAGCTTTCATTGAAATTAAATAAAAATTGAGAGTGTAGCCTTCTACTAATGGAATGCTAGGCGTGTGTGGCTATCTAACAAAACAGTTTCTCACACTTCAGTTATACGACTTCATACTCCTTCAGTTTACTTTCCACTGTCAACATACACCAATTGGAAATGCATACACACATACTTTAAAAAGAGATAATGACATTTTATTTTTTTACAAATGAAATCAAATCAATAAAAATACTTCACCTTTAATTTATCAACAGCCGGGCGAAATTTTTTCCGTAGAAATTGTTTACCAAAAGTTTGCCTCAGCAACAGAGTTAACGGAGCAGCCGCCATTATCGATCTTGCACGAAGTCTCGCTGAAGGTGTGATAACGCGAGAACTCGACGGGCACTTGTTGCAAGAAACAAATCAATGCCAAAGGTCTTGCATGAAAAATCGGTGATTGGCCATATTATTTGTCAACAAACTTGACCCAAACCTTGTGCGATGACAGATGTAAGACAGAGGACTGTCAACTCATCAGAAACGACTAAATCTGAGGTAGGAAATCCTCCCGTTTACCTGTTTATACGACGTCCCAAGTTGTGAAAGATGAACCAAACATAAAATTTATTCGATCTCAGACATCCATCACAATCATCATAAACGCGTAGCACGTAAACATTGAAAACTGAATCTTTATTTTTTTGCGTTCCCACTTACATACCTATGCATATTTGCATGTCAGCAATGTATGCTAAACCTATTAATTGGAAAAACTGTCAAATAGTTTCCATGGTAACTTAAACTTGTAATTTCCATCATCACCATTATTATTTATAATTATAATTTAGGCCTATTCTATTATTAATATTATTTATCATTCATTGTGTCATTTGTTAGTAGTACTAGTAGTAAAATCCTCCCAGAAATGAAAGAAGTAAGGAATATTAGAGGCGTAGGTTAACACTCTAGATAACAAACCTTAATCTCTCAACTCTCCGTGTTTCGAGATATTTAGAGATGAGGCCATTGCCTTCAATGTAGCACATGCGGGAGTGATTTGCACCCGACATTTGTAAACAAAATTGACAATATTTTTTTAAACAAACAACGATTGGTTATTGTTATTTATAATATTTCTGCCACACCCAACTACAATTAAGCATATAATCCTACCTGAAACGGGTACAAATCCCCTCTTTTTAAATCAAAGCGACAGTAGATTGCCTTTTCTGACATTTAAAATTTACGTCTGTAACACATAAAGGCGGGGCCTCGTGTGGAATAACCAATCATAGTACCCATCTGATCAGAGTTGCGCAGTAGGTATTATGGCATAATTATGAACGTCCGAATCAATTTTGATAAAAACAACGCTTGATTTACTTTATTGTTAATGTTTGCTGATAAATGAATGTTGTTTCAGTAGATTGGACTGCGTATGTGTAATAAGTACTAATAGTATAAAATTAACTTATTTTTAAGATGGTACATACATTAATAAAGAAACTGAGTTTGCCACTTGGAACTAAAGGTATCCAATCGTAGCTAATAACAAGCACATCAGTATATCTCAGCGTTTTTAGTTAAGTTCTCATAGCTAGTTAACACTCCTGTTCATGGCTATCTTTTGCGCATTGCACCATAAGGTCTGTCATTGATTGAGTCAAGTGACGTGGTTTCGATTCCCCGCTTGTACGTGACAAGGAGTAGGTCCCCCGTCCAACCTCGTGGGTTTTTTTCAGTCCTCCGGTTTCCTCCCACTGCTAAAGACCCCTACCAATGTTAGTCCCGAAATGACCTAGTTTTGGTCGAGTGGACGTTAAACCTCATTTCTCTCTCACTTTATCGTCGTATCCACATAGTTTTCATAGTGTTTGATATGATTTTCATGACGTCAACTAGCAGACTATCGCCATTCAGAAGACGGCTACCATTTAGATCAATTATGTCTTTCTATATTTCCCCAATATTTTTAATTCACTGACTAAACTTTATATTTATTTTTAAATAAAAACATATAAAACACACTCATACTTATTATAGAAAATCTTGTGATTTTACAATCTTACAAGGAAATTTTACAAATAGGGCAGAGGATCTCGCTGCGTGTGCCAAACAACTAATTTATCATTGGTTAGAATCCTCTAAATGCAGGAAAATTTATAGTAACTATTGACTAACAGCATGCATGCACAAAGGCAAACTATCTTATTTGCATATTGCATACTTTATAATCAACGGCAAACATGTATTTATTAACCTCACCTCGTCAGTCTATAAACAAAGTCTCTAAAGGAAACAAACGGGTTAAATGTAATGAAATAATATTACTAGACAAGATAGTAAGATTGTTTATATTGAGCTGTCAAAGTACTGCACAAGATAGAGAAATGAAATGTCAAGAATGAATGGGATTTGTACTGAAACAATATAGCATGCAGCACTATAGCAGGCTTGTAAATTATTCCGTTTCACATAAATGACATAAACTTTATCCAATTAATCTATTAAGAACAGCAGAAAGCCAATCAACACCCAATACAGGATACATTATTATTAAAAAATATTGATGCATGATCGGTCAATCAAGGTTGAAAACTATTTGAAAAAACAAAACCAACTGATGAGTAAAACTGATTTATACCATTAACAATTACATTGTTAACACAATAGAGGCTACAAGTGACAGAGGATGATCCCTTTCGATTTTCAGTGCTCCACGGAATCCCTGAATTTAGTTCCGGAAATATACTTCCTTTTCCGAAAACATTATTAACGTAATAGAGACTAAAGTTTTGGGTGGATTTCTTTCAAGGTTGGTGTCATGAGACATTGAGGTTATGTGAGGATGACCCTGTGACCTTCCATTCCACAGTTACCCCCTCCCACCTTAAAGTGATAAAAGAGTACATGTACAGTTCTCAACAGATTATGGGGACTGATAGGATTAACCCTACTGATTTTCAAATTTGGTGTCCAGCATTGGAATCAGAGATTATGAAGCCTGTGGATTTTCAGCATTCTGGGACATTCTGACCCGAGATAAATATAAATGAAATGTTTCTCGAAAAGCGGTGAACATGACAGAGATTAGATTTCTTGAAGGCATAAATTCCCCATCAAATTTGATTAAATGATAGAAAGTGTGTTTTGATACAAATGAAATCAAAACAGCCAATAAAAGTTGATTTGCAAATAAATTGAAAGTAGTGTGAAAATATTGATATCCCAAATTTCGTATTGTAATACATTTTGCACAGAATTGAAATTTCAAAATATCAATATCAAATTGTTTTGACAGTCCTCCAGTATGCTCTTTAGATTATTATGACTTCAGACACTTTATGGTCAATCGCTTGAAATTAAGATTCACCATTAACTTAAATTTTGTAGGCCAATCTATAAACTTTTTCAGAAATCATAGGTTTGAAACTGGTTTATTAAATACTTGTATATATGACAGTAACTAAAAAATAATTCTGAGAACCAAATTGCTTAAACAATTTATCACTTGGTTGTTACAAGAGACATCATTTTTATTTGTGGGAATATTTTACTGTAAAATATATATTTTAAGAAACTGGAGATACCACAATGTTTAATGGTAAGGGGTTTTTAGTTTAGATTTTTTTATTGCTCAGTAAATCAAAATCTCTGATTTCTGCAGTAGATGGCTCAGAGTCAGACAGTAGTAGTACCTGTAAGTCATTAAGTCATTAGTATAACATAAGTTCTATGGCATCTTGTGGTAGCATAGTATTACCCATGGGATATGATTTCTGTAGATATTTTTATAGTTATGTATTTAATTAGCATATCGATTGTTGAAGACATAGCATTTTTAAAATTTGAAATCACTAGGTGCCCACCCCTACCCCTATTATTGCTTATGGATGTTAGAAATATAAACTTTTTGACCTGTCCAATGCCAGTAACTAAGTTAGTTTATTTATCTATCTATATATATATTTGTGACTGTCGTTTGTCTGTCTGTCTGTTCGGGGTTGGCGGCTACACTAGGTCTGCCCCGAGTCTGAAATTTGGAGTATTTCGGGGTTATAACCCCCGAGTGAAGCCGGTCTGTTTGGGGTTGGCGGCTACACTAGGTCTGCCCTGAGTCTGAAATTTGGGGTATAGGGGTAACTCGGACCGGGGAGTAACATAGGCCAGGTGGCGTTAGTCTACCACTTCCGGTTTCGGAGTATGACCCCCGAGCGAAGCCGGGTATCTGTCTGTCTGTCTGTTCCGGGATGGCAGCTACACTAGGTCCGCCCCGAGTCTGAAATTTGGGGTATAGGGGTAGCTTGGACCGGGGAGTAACATAGGCCAGGTGGCGTTAGTCTACCACTTCCGGTTTCTGAGTTATGACCCTCAAGCGAAGCCGGTCTGTTCGGGGTTGGCGGCTACACTAGGTCTGCCCCGAGTCTGAAATTTGGGATATAGGGGTAGCTCGGACCGGGGAGTAACATAGGCTAGGTGGCGTTAGTCTACCACTTCCGGTATCGGAGTTATTACCCCCGAGCGAAGCCGGTCTGTTTGGGGTTGGCGGCTACACTAGGTCTGCCCCGAGTCTGAAATTTGGGGTATAGGGGTAGCTCGGACCGGGGAGTAACATAGGCCAGGTGGCGTTAGTCTACCACTTCCGGTTTCGGAGTTATGACCCCTGAGTGAAGCCGGGTATCCTGCTAGTAATATATATTGTTGACATATGTCGCATGTAACATACATGTAGATACATGTAAGGCATTGTATGCTAGTATTATTGAAACTATAATAATAAAGTACATGTATGTGGTCTGTAATGATTTTGCTGATACATGTTGTACAATTTGTGTGAAGAGTCGTTCAAGCAACATAAGGCAAGTTGAACCATCAGGTATCAATCCCCACAAGATAATATTGAATTAATTGTCATTAATATAATGCAGATTGATTGTGGTATTACCATCTGCTCAGTACCATTGTTCTAAAGATCAAAGAAAATACTGTTCATGATCTATAAGTATATTGATGTTCAGCGCTAAGACTGTTCACATCACATATTCTTCCGTGTGATAAGGATACCAAAACTAAACTTGTAAAGATTATACGAAATGCTGTTAATTGTTATTCATAGCTAGATTTTGATGTCATGTACATAAAACAAAAATTTACAAATTAATATATTTATTTCAGGTTCTAAAGCAAAAATAATATGATTTCAAATAATAATATGATTTCAAAATATTGTCAAATTGAATGGTTATTGGCAGTACAGCAAATAATTTTAAGTGAGCGTCAAATTGTTAGAAAGTATACCATGATTAACTAGATGCATGTTGACAAATCACTATTTGGAAATGGGCTGCGTTCAGAATAAGAATGAAAAACATACAAATACTATTTTTTGACACGCATTATGCGGTGCTGACAACATCAGCTTCTGCCTCCATGCTAGATTGTACTGTTAAATACAGATGTGATAATATATGGAAACATCCCATTCATCTAATTTTGTGTTTCCTATTTCAACTATTATGGAAATATTGAGGTTTACATGTAGCCCCTTTAAAGAATACACTTTGTTTATATGCTTCACTAATATGCCTACTGGTACATATAGTTTTATGTCAATGTTTTCAGACTAATAATGCCAAAGATCAATCAGATGAAGAAGATGATTTGGCACCAGGGGAGACAACTGACCCGTCAACCATACCACAGGGTACAGAAAAAACACCTGATGTTTTAGATGGGGCATTGAAAGATATCAATCCAAGGTGAACATACAATTATTTTTATAATTCTATACAGAATTAAGAACTTAACCACATAAATTAACTACATGTATTTTGGGTGTGTATACACCTCACACTATTAAGTAGTCTCTAGCATATTGGTCTGGATGTGTTTTCAACATTTGAGAATAATAGGTCATTGACTAGATTATCTGGTCTTTTACATTATTATGAATAAAGTCTAAGAGAGGTAACTAGTCCTGAAACAAGATGTTGACGCCCATGAGATTGATTTAAGAATGCCATTTCAGAAAATCCATTTGCATTTCCATTTCAATATCCAACACTCTGAATTTTTTTTATTGTAAGATTTCTCTATGTTTCTTAATTAATCCTAATTCGTCGTCACAATTTATTTCGGGAAGGGGTGCAACTCTTACTTGACTTGGCCAAATATACTGGATAATCAATCGGCAATGGAACTTTTTGTCAAATATTGACAACGGTCCCAGACCCTGCATAAGTTGAAGACTAATGGTTCTGGGTGACCGAGACTAACTATTAAGTATGAAAAGACTTTCTTCCGTCACTGCTGTAGCCATTTTCCATACATTATGTAAATTAAACACCCTTGTATAAAGTTGCATGTATGGGCCAATATTTTGTTTAATCCGCTAATTAGACGTAATGACAAGGTTGGTTGTGGCAACTGTAATTCTTCTTTCCAGAAGATGAAATGTAGAGATGTACTTTTTAGATGAAATGCTTTTTGATGATTTTAATTGTGTTATAATAAAACAATTGAACATGTACATTGTATATGCAGGCTATCCTCACTGTTATTAGCTTTACTTTTTGTGTGTTACTTATATAAGAAATATATCTATACACTATTGACGACAGGGAGTTAAGTTGTCTTATGTGGAAGCAATTATGGTACCCATTATCGACTGGGCCTAGAATCTTACACATGATTTAACTAATGGTTAGCTTATCTTTATAGTTCTGCACATGGTATTATCTCTAGACAATATTCAATGTGAACTGTGCTGTGCTAGAAGCTCAAATTAATTTATGTGCAAGTGTCAGATGTTGTTTATAACAATGAGAATTTTGTACTTGTATTCAGAATACAGACTGATATGTAGAAGTTTACATACATGTATATTCATTAAAGGAACAGTCCCAGATATCTTTTGTCACAATTACATATGCAAATCATCACCAAAATGTAAAGAAATAGCATAATTCATATACAGAGGTTTGACCTGTTATATAATGGTAATGAGTAACTGACAAATACAGCGACCATCCTTAGGCAAACATATTGATATGGTTTAAAAAAACCAAACTTTTTTAATTATTCAACAGAAAACGACGGGGACAGCTCCTTTAATAGAATGATTGATTACCGGTATATAAATACAAAAGATATAACATATTTGAAAGCGTAGCAGATGTTACCAGTGGCACATTTTGATTAAAACTATGATTGTTTATTTAATATTTAAAACAATACTCCGTTATAGTTTGGTATATGATAAAAAAATCAAACTAAAACAAATTATTTGTCATAAAATATGTCAATGAGAACAACAATATAATGCCTTTCCTGTGAGAACTAATCAAATATTTTGAATGCTTTGAAATGTGCACTTTTGGAATTATCCTCACCCCTTTCTTTAAAAAGAAAAACACAAACCCTCCTGGGTCTTGCTTGAGTTATGTGAACCTGCAAAATTAGAAATAAGAAGTGTTATTAGGTGTCCTGGAAATATTAAGCATACTCTGCCAAATATTTCAATAATGTAGATTAAGGTCAAGGTCTTCTTATTTTTTTTTGTGGGGGGTGGGGGGTGGATGGATGGATTGCCGAATGGCTAGTGTGCACATGTTGTATCATAAGGTCTGTCATTGTGTTAACTTGCATGGTTTCAATCCTCGGTTGTACGTGACAAGGAGTAGGGTCACCTATCCATCATCGTGGGTTTTCTCTGGGTCCTCCGGTTTCCTCCCACTTCTAAAGACCCCTAGGAGCAAGCGAATTAATGAAATAAAATCGAAACCATATGTTAGTCTCTCTCTTTATTATTTTTATGAATAATAAACTTTAAATATTTTTTTCAGATGGAGAAATTGGATAATAAGAGGTATTTTTACATGGGTTATGATATTTGCATTTGGTTTTGTCATCTATATGGGCCCATTAGCTTTAGTATTATTGGTAAGTGAGTGAAAATATCCAGTCTCGATACAGATTACCCTTAAAAGCTAATTGAGCAAGATGGCTGGGATAGCAGACCATAAAGTCTTTATTCTTTAGCTGCTGTAACTACCTCTTTAATAATAAACTGAAAATTTGAGCTCTTAAAATTGCCAGACTCTGGTCTTGTTGACATTTTGGAATAATTTCAAATAATTCCTAGTCATGAGACTAGTCCTTCATTTACACAAAAATACATTAGAGGGGTTTATATAGACTTCTGTCTGTCCCCCAATCCAGTTTCTGTGAATTAATACCCAATTATGTTTTCTAGCAGTTTCTTTAATACTATTTTGAAGAAGAAATCCCAGGAATATATTTCAGTGAATAAAACTGATTAATGTTGTGTGGGAGGATCTCAGATCCCTTTATTCTAGTGCCAAGAAACTATCTGAAGCTCTGTGATGTATTTCCACAAATATAACGACATTTAGTTGTCTGGTGGATTTTAAGACAAGTTTCTTAACTAGCAATCACATTGTATCTGGATAAACATGTCGAAAATTCAGTCACATGCATATTGACAACATTCTGATATACTGCAACAAGAAATAGTATTTTACAGGTTATGGATGTGATTTAATTATATCCCTTGGCAAAATTTACAAATGGTATTGAATGGTCACATTTATCAGGTCATCCAGTGATAATTAATATAATTACTTAATTCCTATAAAATGTTTTGAAGATCATTTACAAATGGCCAATTTGAAATGTTCAAATAAGGTATAATAGAGACTACTGATATTTATTTATACTTGATCTTTGCCTTTAAGAACATCCCAACAATAAAAATATATTGTGATTTAACTATCCCTGCAATCAGATACTTATAATGTTCCTTTGTTTTCCTAAAGGTCACAAGGAAAACCGTTCTATCTAAACAGGTCATTATTACAGGGATAGATAAGAATGTGTTAATATTTTTAGGTTATGGCTATACAGATCAAATGTTTCCATGAGATCATCCTTATAGGATATATAGTCTACAGATCCTATGATTTACCATGGTTCAGAACATTAAGTTGGTATTTCCTCTTCGCATCCAATTATTTTTTCTATGGTGAGAGCTTGGCGGCATATTTTGGTGTATTGTTATCCAGAGCTGTAAGTATATTAACATTAATGGTTCATAATCTGTTTTTCGTGAAAGAAAATTATTATCTTTATTTTTGATAACAAAGGGACAAAACATGAACTGTCATGAAAATATGAACACATATATTCATAAGGATAGAACAAAACAAAGTTTTTTGTAAGATATAATGTAGTATAAAATGCATTGTTAGAGCTAGTAAAAGCTAATATATTGTGCTGCTTAGTAGTGCTATTATTACATGCTGTATAGCACCAAGTTTAACATTTTGTGGATGTGATTCAAAATAGAACCCAGGCATAAAAAAAATATGAATCTAAATACATGCTAGGTGTAGAACCAAAGCATAAAATCAAAATACAACCTAATACAAACAAATATCGATTAGATGCATGCATGGAAATGATAATTTTAGTTGTACCAGATAAGTCAGGTATTATTAAACTGGTATCTGACATTTCTAACTTTGTGCAAGACATGCATTAAAGATCACACTGAAAACTGTATGGAATAACAATAACTCTGGTCTTTATCAAGCCAATGATGTATTAAAGATATCAATAGAAACTCTGAAACTAACCATACTTAATGGAAAAAAGTATAACTCTTGATTGGTCATGTACATTAAACGCCTCTTACTCGGCAGTAAATAGAAACGGACGTGTCTGCTGTTCTTTAGTGTGTGTTTTGTACCATATCTTAAAAATTTTAAGCATTAAAACAGAAGCATGTTAGTCTCAAAATAGTAATATAATGTTTTTGTGTTTTATGTCTCTGAAATAGATTCTTGAATGAAATTAGCCTCCTTTAATTCTATCGTTTCAAAGATTTCTTTCTCTTTTGTAGGAGTTCTTGATGCCATTTTTCACATATCATCGCTTTATATCCTTCTCGCTATATGTGGCTGGTTTGGTGGCATTTGTGTTTAGTTTAGTGAAGAAACACTATCTCAAACAGTTCACATTGGTAAGTTTAATTATTAATGTGCAGGTATACACTGCTAGTGTTTAGAAAGGGTCAATTTGATAAAATGTTGTAAATGCGATAAATTGTAAAGAATAGAATGTAACACATGTGTTGTTAAAACAGTACATATTATAGTCCGTTTGATAATTTTCTGAAATCGTGCTCTTTAATGTATAAAAATAATGTGCACTTTTTAAACTTATGAAATGTGTATAAATGCCCATTAAACAAAATATTTAAGCTTACGTTACTCCTTTACCAAGAGAAGTTTGTTTTCTTAAAATTGTATACCAACATGCAGAGTAATATTTCAAGACCCTAACAATCATTTCAGTTTTTATACGCCCACGCCATGCGCCCCCACCTCTTCCATTACATTACCTTCAAAAGATTAAATAATTAAATATTTGACAACCCTTGTTGACTGCCCGGATGATTTAGCTGCTGTCGGTGTGTGTTACTTTGTCTGGCAACCTATCTTTCTAGACCCCCATCACCACTTGATCATTTTAAGTATAATAGGCCTAGATGGGCCAAATGAAAATAATTAAAGCTTATTAAATTAGTTTATATTTAGGGCTATTGTAAAATATTATAGAATATGTTTAAAATAATTTGTTTTATGATTTTAATAGTTTGGTTGGACACATGTAACTCTGCTTATTGTTGTGACACAGTCCCATCTTATTATACAGAATATATTTGAAGGATTGATATGGTATGTTATATTAATATCTCTATTATATGTTGTGATAAAATTACTATGAGGAAATTTAAAATGAATGTCAGGTATGTAAGTGTAGGGCTAATAAGGAGAGTGTCTTGCTATGTAAACATATAAATAAAACAGAAAAAAACAACAAGAGACACTGCTGACCAGTTAATACTCCTCCCTGACATTGCGTGTATAAATTCACACTGATCAGCAGTGAATATTTGCTATATATAGTCAGCTACAATCACTGATAGGGATGACATCGATGTGGCTTAATGAGCCCCCAATATTGACTTTTTTCCTTCTGCAAATTAAATTCTAGAAGGTGTTTCAAGTATATGCATGAAAAAGATAATTCCTATTTAGTATAAATGGGTACGTAAAATGAGTAAAAGGCACCATTCTGCCCGGACCAGTAACATCTATGTAAACAATACTCGAACCATTAAGCCAATGATTGATGCTGTGTAATGTGACGTCACAAACTAAAAGCAGTTATCTTTTACTGAGTCATTAGTCTTCGTAATACCTCTGTGAAAAAGATTGGTATAAAGTGTCCACGCTACATTAAATTCCACTCTCTCTTCATAGATGATGAAATCAACTAGTTACAAGCTTTTTATAATGTCAAAGCACTTTGATTACCCAATTGATCAATATTTGTATTATTGTATTCATACTTAACAATCTCTCATTGATTAACCATGTTGTACTTGTAATCAAATTTATTATTTGTATTAGTTATGTCGAGCTAAAGAAACTGTGATTGATAAGATTTGTTTATCATTAAATCTTTACAAATATTTGCAGCTGCAAAATTAATATATATTTGGATGTGACATGGATATATTTATTAGATATGATCATATATATGTTTAAAGGGGGTTGTACAAGCAGAAACAAGGGGTTGGCAAAATTTCCACTTTTCTTCCCAGTTGTGGTGTTTGTAAACACACTAGCGATATGATATAAATGTTTGACTTGTTTTGGATTGACTTGCCATCCTTTCTGACCTCCTTTATTTACATTCAAAGTGTTTCCTGTTAGAGTTTTTGTATTAGTCAGTTTAGGTTTATACATCGTGGCATCAGGATTTGGATTCCAAATTTGACAGGAAAGAAATATACAGAAGACACAAATTTGTTTCTATTAAACACATACAGTGTTGTCAACCCCTTTGCGCATAATAGGTATTGGTCAATCATTAGGTATCTCTATTCAGTAATTAATTAGTGAAATAACATTGAATGTTATGTTTTTGTTAATACTGATCATCACGTGAATATATTTACTATCTTTTGAACCACAGATAAACAAAACAAAGCTGTTCCACTAGTACACCATCTTATAAATCTTTGGTCAATTGAAATGCCTATGTAACTTTGTAAATTACATATTCATTTCTTAACTTTCCACCTTCTGCACATATTTGATGATCATCTGTTAAACTTAGAATGGAATCAAAAATGTTTCTTTTAGGACAAAAATATAAGCATCATACAGGTCTGACTTTTCCATTTATGTTTTTTTTTTCTAAATAAACTCATTTTCACTAAATTGTTGATTATGTAACATCTAGATGTGTTGAATTGTGGATGAACTTTGATTTTTTTTAGTCAAAGCATAAAAATATGTTAATGGGGTATTTTTGTCTTTGTTTATTTAGGTTGTTGGTTCCTGTCTCAATGATTATCTGTAATGACATCATGGCCTACATGTTTGGTTTCTTCTTTGGCAAAACGCCACTCATTCAACTATCACCAAAGAAAACATGGGAAGGCTTTATTGGGGGTGCATTATCAACTATTGTCTTTGGTATTGTGGTAAGTTTATTGTTTGCATTTTTAAAAAAATATGGTGTGAATGAGATTTATTTTGAAATAATCCTGTATTATATCACTTTAAGGAGTTCAATATCTATCATTTAATTCAAAATAAAGTACTGAATTGGGTGGATCTGTACAATTGAATTTTTGTTCCAAATTATTAAGTGAAAGTCAGTATATTTACAAACTTCAGTTTTGATTTTGTCTGAAACTGTTGACAGGGAAACAAACAATTTGCTATACATGTATTTCAAGATTGACTCTGTCTGTGGACCTTAAATTTAAGCAAATCAACCCATCAAAATTAATTAAACAGTCACTTTTGTTTTTCACTGAAATTAAAAAGGGACAGTTATTTAAGAATTAACTAACTTTCTTGATGAATAATTTGAAGGCTTTGTTTTCCAGTCAATGTTTTTTCAGACAGTATCTAAATTTTCATGGCTAAATCCACACTGAAATGTACTTCTATTGATTATTTAATATTTACCGGTAATTGAGGAATAATCACGATAGATAATCTTGCATTTAATGGGATTAAAAAGGGTTCATCAACAGATTTCAGTTAAACTTATTGGTGGAACTGCCTTGATTATACGGGTAAAAGAAACTGTCTTAAACCAAAAGACTTAAAAAGTTTTGTCAAAACAGCCATACATTTTAGTCAAAACAGTCATAAATTTTAGTCAAAACATTGTTAGATTGGTTATAATGGCTGTACACTGCTTGTGTGGTCTGGAGAGGATGCAATTCACCATCTTTTAGAATGCTGTACAGAATTGAACCACTTTTAGATCTATATTCCTTTTAAATATTCAACTTTCACATATTTTAGTTTGCAATGGATTAAAAATCTCAGTAATGATCAGAAACTATAATATAACATTTCATATTGCAACTGAAAGTTATCTTTTATTCCATTAATTTATTAGAAGTATTGTAATATTATTTCTCTTATTTTTAGCTCTCATATGGTCTAGTTCAGTTTGATTTCTTTGTGTGTCCACTAAGGTATGATGATATTAAAGAAGCTCTGTCAATGGATTGCGAGAGGCATCCAGTATTCAAAGTAACTGAGTACAACCTACCAGAAACGCTACAAGGTTTATTTAGAATAGTATGTATATAAGTTAATTTGTATCAAAATGACACTATTAAGGTCATACGAAATAAATATTCTGGATCTCAGACAATCCTTCAAAAATATTTAACGTGGGAGGTCAAAGGGTCACACAGTTAAATTACTTATCACAAACATAACATTCCAAGGTTCTACATTTATTTCATCTTCTGCTTATTCATGCTGTTCACAAGAATTCGCTTGAATTCCGAAAAAACGTTACTATACACTAAATATATACACAGATTATAAGATTATTTAAAAGCAGTAACTTATAATTGTCAACTCAGCCTATTTATGTAAGCATAGATTTTATAGTTCTAATTTGAATGCCTTAGGCTGACCTTAAAAATATCTTTGTTTCGCCTAACGCGACCGACTAACTAAAACCACCCCCGACTTAAATTATTTTATTGCACTTTTCCGCGATCTTTTTATTTTATTTTGTGTGTCAACCTGAAATATATCACGAGAGTTATTTCCCTTTACTATGGCTATGGTTTGATTCATTATTGAAACTGGTTGATCAAGACGAAAGCGTCATAGGTGTCGCTTCTCAACAAAATGGTTGCAGACGAAAGCACGTCCATTCCCACGAAATGATTCTGCCTCTATGTCTGTGGGGCGTCGTTTTAAACATGACGACGATATTTTCAATATCCGTTTTCTAGAAAAATAAAGGCACAACCCGCACGATCGTTAAAAACGTGTTGAGGGAGTTTCAAACGTGAGTTTGTCGCAATTTGTGTGCGAGTCGTGCATCAAGAAAAATCCCGATGTCATTGATTTGTTTGCCAATAAAAGAAGACGAATGTTTGCACCCGGAAAATTATCAAGCTGTCAAATTAGCTCTTAAAAAAAAAAATCTGAAAAAAAACCCGACCTACCGACCCTTCTCCTCGATTGTGGGTCGGGTTTGGTGAAACAAAGATATTTTTAAGGTCAGCCTTACCTACTATTTCCCATCCAAATCAAGAATAATTTCAGTCATTTCATTCTTATAACTAATGGTGGATGTAGTTATAATTATCATTATCATCCCACGAAAGTCACCAATTCCTGATAACTATGACCAATTTATGATTGTTGATAGCCATTTATGATTGTCAGTACATTTATCAGGTTTCTGTACTAAATATTGTTAATTGTGCCTCCCTTGACTGCATAACATTAAATAGAAATTTGCCAAAGAAACAGAATATTTTTTTTGTTATGATCTAAAGTTTTGAAGGATGAAATTTTTTTTGTGAGGGGAATAATTTGTGGTCTAAGGGGAGATAATATGTCTGGAAAGACAAATGGTAGGAGTTGTTTCCCTTTAACCATTTTCGTGTAATTTATACAGTTAATAATTATGTAACATTTCTTTGCAACCTTACCCTTGTGTTTCAGGTGGGAATACCATGGACTATTATGAAAATATATCCTTTTATTCTTCATTCAATTTGTATGGCAATTTTTGCATCAGTCATTGGACCATTTGGTGGATTTTTTGCCAGTGGGTTTAAGAGAGCCTTTAAAATCAAGGTAAGTTCATGCATGTAGAATTTGTTTTAAATTTAAGTTATTAAAATAACTTAAATTGTAAAACAAATTCCAATAAAACCACACTGAGTTTATTTTCACATATTTTAATATATGTAAATTCAAAAGTTTCTAAAATGTTTATCATTCCCTTTAGAGGTTTGGATACATAGAAAAATTATAATATGGAAAACTATTTTTCAAATCTATGGTCTTATTTTATTTAAGAAAATGGTTATAAGTGGTGAGAACTTTTGCCTAATCCTTTTGTATTGTACAATGTAATATCAATGCAATAAAATAAGTAATGTCAATGCAATAAAATATGTTTAAACTAAACTAAATTTGATGATTTTCATCCAATTTATAGACAACAATATTTGTTTTATTTTTGTAGGATTTTGGTGACACAATACCAGGGCATGGAGGTATAATGGACAGATTTGATTGTCAGTTTCTCATGGCAACATTCATTCATGTTTATTATTCAAGTTTTATAAGGTAAATATTTCATTCTTAAAAATCAGATTTGTTTTCAGGGTTTGAACGTGAATTCGAAGATCACAAAGCAAATGTAAGAAATTACATACAAATAAATCGAGCATTCTACTGTTGAACTTACATGTACATAACTTCATGTATTCTTTGTTAAATGATTCTCTGGTCTTGAATCAATTACCAAGTGGTAATTATGTGTTCATTGAATAAGTATAATATATATTCAGTGTACGAGCGAAATTTTAGCTATAGAGGGGGCTTGGTTAATAAACATCATCTCTCAATTCTCAATTCCTCGATTTGAAGTTCAAACTTGTCAAATATTCAAGAATGGTGGTGGGCACTTGCACTGTTGGGTTGTGTAGGTGAGAGAGAGTCCCAAATGTTATACCTTTAACAATTGAGTGACAAAAACTTACTCTGTCAGCAATATTACAATGTATATCTTTTTCCTGTTTTTCTCCCACATCTTTCAAAGAAAGCAAGGGGCTATTAAAAATGGTTAGTCTGTCACACATTTTGGGACACAATAACTCCGCGTCTGTTTGAGGTAGAATGTTCAAACTTGGTGTAATAGCACAACACAATTTATATGGAAAAACAATCACTGGTTTGTACACATATACCACGAAGTTCCGACAAGTATCCTCTTGTCGAAACAAACTTGGTGTAGTTGTTCCTCAGATGACTGATATTCTCTGCTTGGGCTAAACAGAGATAAAACAATCTCTACTTCTAATTGGGGGGGGGGGGGGAATAAAACATGGTGTAAAGTTTCATTACACTAATACCTTGACTGATACAAGTTCCACAATATGCATTTATGTTTAGCCTATAAGCTGAATGATAACGGTTTGAATTCGAGATTCTTTATAAAAGGATAAATGTGGCAAGTAATTAAACAGGTGTCATCTATTTATTTTGAGATTGAGGCAGGGGACAAGAGCATCAATGTTATTATACCAACAATCAGAACACAAAAACTTAAAAAGGTATTTCTTCTGTAAACTAAAAAAAAATTTTTCAGAGTTCCAAATCCTACAAAATTGGTGCAGCATGTGTTTACATTAAAACCAGAGGAACAAATCCAAGTTTTTTACATGTTACGGGACAGATTATTGGCCAAGGGTATCTTGAATGGCACAGATTCCTGAAGATAATTTATAGTTTTAATGGGTATATTATGTGTGTAAACCACATGCTTCTTAATCTCAGATTTTAGAATTTTTGTCCATATATATAACGGTTTAATCAATATTTTCTTAATTCTCTCAAATTTGTGAATACCGGTAGACATAGATGTTGAAGTCATGGTGTGCAATTTAGTGATTGATCATATTTTGTAAGTTCCAATAACAATGTGTGTGGTTGTAGGTAAGCAACTTGATTAGTCTATATATTAATTTAGAAATTGAGACTTAAAAAAAGATTAAAATTATTTAAAGTAGCTAAGTCCGTAACTCAATATCATCCAATTTGCAATTTAAATCAACATTGGTGTTGTGATCTTACCTGGAAAAGATGGGCTTCTGATATCCAATATTTAAGACAAAATAAACATTTTACCATTGGTACACGAATCGCGTACCATAATGCGTTTCGGCGCCATTTGTAACAAGGTGCTCAAAGAATGAGGCTAGACATATTCCACAAGTCATGTCAAACGGTGATATCATATTCTTATTTGGAGAGCATGCGCAATAAATAATATCGGTGTTGACTGGAATAACCAGACGCTAGAAACTGACTTGCGGTTGAGACTTCTGGCGTATTTCGCCGAACATAACTGATGACAATTCACAGTAAAAAGGACAAGATTGAATGTAAAACAGTTTATATAAATTCATATTACATTATTATATGTGTTGCGACCCATTTGTGCCAATTTCTAGATCACAAAATATTGGCGATTTAGCTCCTTTAAAGCAGTTTTAAATCTTTGCTGCTTAATTACATTCAAATTGGGGTTAACCCAACAAATGTTATTATAATGACCAATATATATTACTACCTTTGAGCTAGTGAAGGATCACAAATACAATATTTGAATTTAATTCAACCAACTGAGCAAAATTGTTTACATGACTATATTGAATGAAATTTATTATCTGCATGTACATGGTCTATATATTGCTTTAAGTGGATCTCAGACTGTACCTGTTGAATGTATAATATTATGCTATACCATTTAGCAATATCAGTGCATGGGTTATCAAAATGTAAATTATTCATATTGTTTGCATAATATAATAAACTAATGTGTGAATGGAAGAAGAATGGAAATATAAATCTATACATAGTCAATATTCTCTTGTATTAGATCTTGTATTTATGTAGTAGTAACTAAGTTGTAAGAAGATCTTTAATACACATATAAGATCTTAAAGATGATAAACATCTTTGATATACATTTAAATAAAATCTTGACTTGGGGTTGATCTGATGTGTTATTTTGATTAGAGATAGGACCAAATCTATATAAATGTGTTTTTGTTTTGAAAGAAGATTAACTAATTGAAGTTTTGTGCTGGGTTCAGTAATTTCTCGACAATTGGAGTGTCTCTGGACCTGAAAATATATATGTATCAGATACCCGCTTTCCAAAACAAATCAACACATCAGATTTAATCAAATGCACAATTTTATTTTTTTCCGAGATGATATAGATCTAGCTGTTTTAGAAAGTAAAAAGATATTTAATAATTACCTCTAGAGACAATCTCATATAAATTGTTTGTATGAGAAGAATATCACCTTCATTCTATTCCATTTGCCAAACTAGTAAGTTATTGGCTTTAAGAGCAGTGGGTGGAATTATTTTTATTTTTTAATGTAAATCTTAAACTTTGTGTGATCAGTAAGAAAGTCTAAGTAACATACTGGTATATTAGATTATGAACCTCCGCCCATGGACTCAGTTATCTAGTCAAAGCTGGTTTATATATCTTTTGATAAATAACCATACATTCAAACCAGATTAAGAATTTAAATATTATGATCTGTTCACAAAAAAGATTTATAATGTCAGATAATTTTTGCTACTTATAATATGTTGGTATGTGAAGCTCAATTTGGTTTTTAAGCTTAATGTTATTATTTTATATTTTAAAGAAATGTCCAAGTATGAAATGATAGTAATATTTCTATTGAGTGTGATGTTATTAAATGTACACGGGTGTATGAACGAATGGTGATTTTTTAATACAATTTTTGTTTACACGATTTTAAAAATTATTATGTTTAATAATGTTGATTTGGCATATTTTTCACATATATTTTTTTTTTCTTTTTCACTTCCATTATTATATATATGTATTGTTTTTCTCTTCTAAAGATGCCAATATAGGAAAGATGTTCACAATTTCAAAATCTTAAGTATAGAAAAATGGAGTTATATAGCGCTGAGTCATGTGATAAAAATCTGTTTTTTGATAAAACTGATTTGCATTACAATTTTGAAAACAAAAAATATTATCCTTGTACCAGTACGGTTGCAATTATCTTGAAGGAGCAAACAACAAATAAAATGATTATGAAAATATGTTGGTCTGAATATCAGTTTTAGATATGACCGCTTCAATTACAAAACCACAAAAAATGATCCTGTTACGATCTGTTAGAAGTAACATCAGTAGCAAAATGAAAACTCTCCTAAAGGCACTAAACCTTTTTGATTTACGTCGCAATAAAGTATTGAATTGGGTTAATAAGATGGATTATTTCAATCATTGATGGGGAAAGTTCTATCAAATTAAGATTATGCAGAAGTCAGCTTTGTTAAAGTTTTAGTTACTATGAAAACAAATAGATTATATCTCAATAGACTGAATATTTTCAATGAAGATAGGTTGTCTTCCATCAAAACAAATCAATATGTAAAATGCATTGAATTTGACATTTTAATTTTTGACCCTAGTCAGGGCGTTGATCTACTTTGTAAACTCTAGACTTTTTTGATTTAAGTCAAATAATAAAAGTACATTTTTAGCATTGCGCTGCATAAAGTCTGGAGTGAGAGTACCTCTATAACATCTGGTGAGAGTTTATTCCAAAATGTTGCCCAAATAATTTTAATTTAGCATTAGCCAATCCTAGTATTCCACCAGGATGATATTTTTGGCACAAATTCCGATAGTTGACTTGGTGCGGTTGTTGGTAGCATGTAAGTGATTGAGAGTTTTAAATTTCGTATGAGTCGCAACTTGGAACTGTGAAGTTCATCTGGTGTAATAGTAAAGGGAAAAATGCAAATAGTTTAATTTTTTGTTTTCGAAATATCAAGCCACAACTTTATTTCCCCCCCCCCCCCCCCTGAAGAGGTTGACACATTTTAATTTGTTCATTAAGGCTAGAATGGTTTTCATCAGTACAAAAATTATATTAAGAATAAATTATTATTAATAAGTTCACGGTAGGTTTCATTTAGATACACATGCAGTGTTTTCTCTTATCTTTATGATTCTGATATAATTAATACATATAATGATCATACAGGTACATATAACCCTAACAATAAAACCATTATGCGGTTCATATAACTACAGCTAATCTGTTGATACATATAAGAGATACTCATCTAGTGTTGTTAATATGTATAATAATATAGATAATATATTGAGTGTTATATTAGTTACAGTAGTATGTATTGTAGATATATCTATATTAACTTTATTGTTATATATTTATTGTTCTATTCAGTAGTACTAATACTGTATTGTGATCATCTATGTTGGCATATTTTGTGAATTAAATTGTAATATTTACATTTTTTGTGTTAAGTTATTTTTTTAAATTAATAAACAATCAATCAAATACAAACTATAATAAAACATTCCATGACATGAATTTGCATTGGGCAATGTTGACACCTAAGTACTATTTCTTGAAATTTCAACTTTCAAGGGATCTTTCATATGCACAACCAAAACACCCCTATGCGCAAGCTAATTATTGAAATAAAATTGAACCATATGTTAGTCCAGAAATGACTTAGTTTGTGTAGAGTGGATGTTAAACCCCATTTCTCTCTCCTTAATCCTACTCAACTGATCCGCCAATAAAAGAGGGCTTTCACATTACCGTTGTAGGCCTATAACAGTATGATTATCGCAATATAAATCCTGTAAGAGTTGCACTCTCTGCTATTATGTAATGGGAGGCAACTCCATTAAAAGATAGTAATAAATTTACATACAGTACATCAACCATTATGGTACCGGACCGGTACTTAATTCATGTATTACAGTAGCTATGTCTTTAACTCAATATCATCAAAATTCTTCGACATTGAAAACACGAATTATTTGTCAATCTAAATCAACATTGATGTTGTGATCTTACCGGAAAAGAGAGAGAGAAATGGGGTTTAATGTCCACTCGACACAAACTAGGTGATTTCGGGACTAACATATGGTTTAATTTTTTATTTCAATAATTCACTTGCATGTAGGGGTCTTTAGCAGTGGTAGGAAACCGGAGGACCCAGAGAAAATCCACTAGGTTGGACAGGCGAACCTACTCCTTGTCACGTAGAACCGGGGATTCGAAACCACGCCAGTTGACTCAATGACAGGCCTTATGATACAGCGCGCATGTGCTAACCATTTGGCCATCCAACCCTCTCTTACTGGAAAAAGATGGGCTTCTGATATCCACTATTTAACACAAAATAAATATTTTACCATTGGTACACGAATGTACCAGAATGCGTTTCAGCACCATTTGTAACAAGGGACTCGAAGAACGAGGCTAGACATATCCCACAAGTCATGTCAAACGATGACGACATATTCTTATCTGGAGAGCATGCACAATAAGTACTACCAGTGTAGGCTGGAATAACCAGACGCTAGAGATTTGCATTCGATTGACACTTCTTGCATATTTCGCCTAACATAATTGAGAAAATCCACGAGGTTGGAGAGGCGAACCTACTCCTTGTCACGTAGAACCGGGGATTCAAAACCACGCCAGTTGACTCAATGACAGGCCTTATGATACAGCGCGCATTTGCTAACCATTTGGCCATCCAACCCCCTCTTACTGGAAAAAGATGGGCTTCTGATATCCACTATTTAACACAAAATAAATATTTTACCATTGGTACACGAATGTACCAGAATGCGTTTCAGCGCCATTTGTAACAAGGGACTCGAAGAACGATGCTAGACATATCCCACAAGTCAAACGATGACGACATATTCTTATCTGGAGAGCATGCACAATAAATACTACCAGTGTAGGCTGGAATAACCAGACACTAGAGATTTGCATTCGATTGACACTTCTTGCGTATTTCGCCGAACATAATTGATTTGAAATTAGAGAAAAATGGAAACGATTGAATGTAAATCAGTTTATATACATTCATATTACATTATTATATGCGTTGCGACCCATTTGTATCAATTTCTAGGTCCCAAATATTATCGATTTACCTCCTTTAAAGGCAAATATTCAGTATAATTATTATTTAATTACACAAAGTAACTTATTGTTAGGCTAGAAGGGCTAGATCTATTTGTTAAGGCTACCTCAATTTTCGTCAAGGTCGCTGATCAGATGTAAATAAGATGAGGGCATGTGATTATTGGCGAGATTGTAGGTTAGGTATAGGGTGAAGTGTTAGGGCTAGGTCCAGGGTTAGGGTTAGGATTAGAGCTAGCCCTGTTTACATCTCGTGACCTTTGACCAAACTTGAAGTTGGCCTTATCAAATAGATCTAACCATGGTCGGAACTATAAACCGAACGTTGATGGTCCAGATCTAGCCTATACATCTCTCCATGGAATGAATTGCTGGATGCTATAGATAAGTTACGATAAGATTTTATTGTATCTAAACATCCATTTAGGACAGCATACAACATAATACGTAATTTTTAGACTTACATAGATAAAGATTCAGACATAACATACGAGACAAAAAATATCTGCTCAGTCATAGAATTACAAGTAGCAACCATTTAAAATTCTTTTAAACTTTCTTAAAATCATATATACTACAAATAAGTACAAAAACAAATTATTTCTAAATATTCTACACCTATGTTTCGTCAACACCCGTCATCTTGGAACTACTCCTACCTAGTTCAGCTCTGAACGTAGGTCTCATTACACCAGTGTTTCCGGACTATGGTTAGGTTAGGACTAAATGAAATTCGGATTCAGTTAGTCCGACCATAGTCAAGAAATCGCGATAACCGAAGGTCGCCCTGGCGTTAGTTTAATCATAGATAATACGGTATTATCTATGGTTTAATGAACCGGTAGTTAATCGGGACTACCACTATCGGTGCAATGAGAGCGCGAGAGTTGTATATGTGCTAGATACCGTTGAATGAACTAATTGTGATTGTGGGTGACTAAATTTGTGTTAGTCCTTACCGGTAAGTATGTGTAGGAGTCTTTAATGAGATGCAAAAACATGAGTTATATAAACGATAGGCTACACAGTACGACAGTGCTGATGATAGTGATAAATCACGATCAGGCAACGCGAGTAGAAATAGCCTAGTAATTAATTATAAGCAGATTAAGATAATAGCAAACGGCGCAACGGTATGGGTAACCTAGTAATAGTACTAACGGAATCCTGTCGTTGCACAAGGAATGTGAGAGTTAATTTGTCGATCATGTTTGATCCGACTCTCTTTTCTATTTCCATCACTTTGAACTTTTACATTCCATCACTGGGTCCACATGGAACTTCCTACTTTCTATTAGGCCGTTAGGGTTAGGGGTGGTGCCACAACAAGGAAGGAAATATTGAGACACAAAAATGGGAGTCACATCAAACATGAATGCGGTTAATTTTTTTATACTATTTGGACTTATTAAACATACAGAGCCCTAGATAACAAACCTTAATCTCTCAACCCTCCGTGTTTCGTGTTAAGAACTGAGGCCATGACCTATAACGTTGCAGCTCCGGGAGCGATTCACACCCGGCATTTTTAAACAAAATTGACAATAGTTTTAATCAAAACAACGATTGATTATTGTTATTTATAATATTTCTACAACACCCAACTACAATTAAGCATATAATCCTACCTGAAACGGGTACAAATTGTCGTTTTTAAAATCGAGGCGTTAAGCCGTTACTAAGACCGCCATCTTTTTAAACGATACGCTGTCATCATGAAGGCGGGGCTAAATATAAGGCTTTTATAACAGCCAATCAAAAGGACAATCGAAAGCACAGTAACTATGAATGGATTTCGATGGCGGTGAAATTTCAGACAAAAACAACGCTTCATTAATTTAAACGCGAATATTTGGAGTTAGGCGACAGTTGTGCCACTACATTGGCCTCTGTAAGTTTAATTAATCATAATAGCATAAACTCATCTTATTTTAAAGATGTAACATGCATTAATAAAGAAATTGAGTTTGCCACTTGGAACTAAAGGCATCCAATCGTAGCTAAAAACAAACACATCAGTATATCTCAACGTTTTTAGCGAACCGTTCTGTGGGGGGTCTGGGGGTCCTCCCCCGGAAAATTTTGAAAGCAGGATGCCTGAAAACGCTATCTAAGACCATTTCTGAGCATTCTGCAGAGATGAACGTACCGAGAGTAAATTGTCGTGTTAGAGCGGGAATAATCAATAGCTACACAAATAAGGGATGAGGAATATTCTTTATTTCATCATAATGAATAATTTCAGCCGACAGGCCGTCATCAAATACTGTACCAACATATTATAATATAATTATCAATAAAATATGTAGTTTAAACTTGTTGAGTGTAATTCTAAAAATATTAAATTTCTATTATCGTTCGTTTCAATTTAAACCATATCATTTCAAAGTTCAAACATAAATCCAATTTGAATAATTGAATTGGTGCATTTTTGAACCAAGAGGAAATATCCTCAGTCTGAAAATAGGACTCAAGTTTTGAGAGACGCTGACAGAGTACGGCGGGCGAAGGCATACGCCATGTGCACTCCCGGAAGATTTTTTTAAAATAAGCGGCCTTGTGCCTCTGCTCTGATGTTTGGGGTTCTCACTTTATGCACAATGTAAAATTAAATTTACCAAAGTGGAGTAATGACTAATAAACAAAGATTATAAGAAACCTCATCTCTCAACCCTCCGTGTTTCAAGATAAGAGATGGTGCTTTATAGTTTTAACTGGCAAACCCCCAACGCTAATCACATCGAGCTTCAAATAAGCAAAATTGACAATTTTTTCTTCAAAACAATGATTGATTAATTTATAACATTTCTACCACATCTAACTACAATTAAGCATAAAATCCTACTCGACACAGGTACAATTCCCCTCTTTTTAAATCAAAGCGATAATAGATTGCTTTCTCCAACATTTTAAATTTGACGTCTCTAACACATAGGAAGGAGCCTTGTGTACAATAGCCAATCAAAGTACTAACTTGATCTGAGTTGCGCAAGAGTAATACACCGTAATTATGAATGTCCGTATCAATTTTGATAAAAACAACACTTGATTTACTTTATTGTCAATATCTGCTGATAAATGAAAGTTGTTTCAATAGATTGGGCTGCGTATGTGTAATAAGTTATAATACTAATAGTATAAAATTAACTTAATTTTAAGATGATACATGCATTAATTAAGAAATTGAGTTTGCCAGGTGAAACTAAAGGCCCTCAATCGTAGTTAAAAACAAGAACATCAGTATATCTCAATGTTTTTATCTACGTTTTCGTAGCTGTATAGAACACAACAAGATAACCCATAAAAACCTGTAAGTCAATATTGTGCCAATCCCCTAAAACTACTAATAATACAGGTTGCCTTGCCGAGCTTGGAATTTTCCCACTGCAACTTTATATATAGACATATACCATAGAATGCTACTCTATTATAAAAGATTAAACCAACCTGACATGGAAGAATCAAACCAGTTACTGGACGATATTAAAATAGCTAATTCGAATATTAAACTCTCATGGACTGACTTTATAATACAATTCAATATAAATTATTTCAATATAAATCCATCCAACCTCACTAAAATTAATATCAAATTGTCACTTCAATCCAAATTCAATTCCCTTTTCACTGAATCGTGCCACTTCAGCCCATTTAAAGCCTACAAAGCTTATATGTATAATCCTGCTGAATATATGTTATTTTGTGTATATTATAAGAACTTTAAAATAGCCATGACTGCACTTAACTTAGTTCCTACTCACTTTAAAATTAAATGATCAGATACAAAAATGTACAAAGATGAAAATGAAGCACATTTTTTACTAGAGTAGAATGAATGTCCACTGTACCACCCGGTTTCCTCCCACTGCTAAAGACCCCTACGCGCAAGCGAATTATTGAAATAAAAATAAACCATATGTTAGTCCCGAAATGACCTAGTTTGTGTCGAGTGGACGTTAAACCCCATTTCTCTCTCTCTCTCCACTGTACCACTGTATGAAGATTTACGTACTTCCACATTTACAGATAATTTATCTACCCTATTCTCTAGAAAATCTATTTTCTAGAGAATGTGCTAACCCTATATGCATATGTACGTAACCTGTGTTTCATCAATAGGTTGTGATAGCTACTCATGTTCCTTCCTTGCATTTCATTAGAGAGTTCGCACTGATGTTTGTATATATATAGCTGTCTAGTCGTTCGGATGGGACGAAAAACCGAGGTCCCGTGTACACCTTGGCGTGCACGTAAAAGATCCCTTGACAGTTGGACTTCGATATTAGAGTAGGCCGTAGTGCCGCTGTCCGGGCAAAATTTCCCTCATAGCACACTGTATGGTGTATGCCCGTCTTCATTAGCCCAGGTTAGGAGCAGAACAGTAGGACGTTAAACTCCATTTCATTTCATTTCATTTTGTATATATATATATTCATTTTTTTCTTGCTTGATAACGACTTGTGAAATCTTGTTGAAACACCGCAGTGAAATAACTCTTTGTAATTGTTATTCCATAAAAGTGTGTTATTTGATTATGTTCCAATTACTAAATGCCATTCAAAGAATAGAATATGTTCAACTAAAGAAATATAAAATCAAGTTTTGCATGTTATGTGTATCTCCTACCTAACTTGTTTCATTCATGGGTACACCTTCTTATTCATATTTATACTGTTGAAGGTGTTACCCCTAGATACCTACATTACATAAACACATCAATTTAGACATCTATTGAAATATTAAAAGAATACAAAGAAGATTATAGGTAAGAAATAGGGTTATAAATCTGAAACTGTACATGGATTAAAATATTGCAGTTAACACAAACTATCCCATTCTTATTACCGGTAGACTACTTATAGATAGATAAGTAGCTGTTTTTCCATAAGTATGTGTTATAGTTTATTACTTATTGGGAGGATTATGCTCCAATAATAAGTGCAGGCGGACTGTACTCCAAGATGTCATATCAGTATTACGCTAACCAATAATTTATTTAACTATAGAAAGGTAAATATAAGGTCTTGACAGACCGTGGTGACAACTCATAGATCTCGTGTCGGTTTACCCAAGGATAGAGTAGGTTTGGAACACTGAGAACCGTGTGAAAGGTGTGAATGGAACTCAGTTTATCCGTGAGCAGTTTCCCTTTGACTGCTGAGCAATCACAGTCTACTACAATATGTGAAACAATTACACCTTATAATTATAGGCTTAACGGTACGATGTCTGAGTGTTTCTTTGACCTTCATTTTTGTTATTAACCAGCAGAGTTTTCTACTGGGATAATTTACAGTGAACGTAGCATCTAAGGACTCATTGGATCTAAATCTGTATGAGTTGAGCTCCACAAGGGTGTTTTCCCATTCAGAGATGATGCATAGCCCAACTTGGTTCCTCCAGTTTTGACCCTTAAAAGGCGATAATTAAATTGCTTGATAATAATTTGCAGGTTATATTTAGATTATTAAATTTTCATACATTTTGTTTTAAAGCCATGTTTTAATTTCAGAAGAAGAAAATTAAAACAAAACGTGATTTTGATCTTAAAAAAAAAGATGACTGAAATAAAAAGTTATTTGGCAGTTGTATGGTGTTTTTTTGAGACATTATTATTTGGAGGATTGATCTATGGATGGGGATCCCTAGTATTTATTTTAATAGATGAAGGGGTATATTCTGATCTTTGTGAACATATTCCTGTAAATCTTACATCCAATATAAGTCTGGTCAGTAATTCTAGTCTTACAAAAACTAATTGTGAAGGCCAAGACTCGATGTTGACGCTTGTGTTCACTGTAGCTTCCTTCTTATTCTGTGCTGGCTGTGCTGCTATGGGACAAATTAATTATAAGTTTGGAACAAGAATTACCAGGATTATATCTTTGTAAGTGACATTAGATTTCACTTGATTTAATAATACATGTGTACATGTACATGTAGTTAAATATATATTTTTAGTAAGATTTTTAAAAAGATTTTAATGATAATTCACCAATAAAATGGTTTGAATGGATATGTTTTTGCATGTATAATGTGAAAATCATTCATGAATATTTAATTATGAAACAGTTGTGACTAATATGATTCATGCCTGTAATATAGTTCATTTTGTAACAGACTGTTTGATTTATTAGGTCAGCATGCTATATGATTAAAATAATAGAAACCTTATATTTTTTTACAGTTTATTGTTTGAATTAGGTGCACTGTTGATAGCTTTTGTTAGTCCAAGTAAGTTTATATATATTTTATTATACGCCCACATTTTGATATGAACGTATGTTGTCGTTGCCCCTGTCCGTCCGTCCACAATTTATTTGTGGACACTCTACAGGCCACAATTCTTATCAGATTTTGACAAAACTTGAAATATAGGTTTATCCACAAAGGGTTTCGGTTCCTTTCGTTATTGGATTGTATGTGATCGAAACTTCATGGATTATGGCCCTTCATCTGACCAAAACTGCTGGACAAAATGGCTGCCCCTCGTACTCAAATAGTGTGAAAATATGGTATATCAAAGTTGTGGACCCTCGGATCGTAACTTCCTGAATTATGGTCCTTGATTGTATGAAAAATCACATTTTTAGCTTGTTGTCCTGCTAGAGGTCATAATTTTTATCCGCTTTAAAAAAAAACGTTTGCAGTTTGCATATATCACAGTCACAGTTACACCCTAATGAGGGTTGAGTTGGAATTTCGTGAAAATCGGACCAAAACTGTCGGATAAAATGGCCGCCATTTATACGCAAATAGTGTAAATATATGGTATATCAAGGTTGTGGACCCTCTAGAGGCCACAAATCTTGTTTCTTTTTGATAAACGCACATATTTGAATGTAACTTCTTGGATTATGGCCTCTGAGTGTTTGAAAATCGCCTATTTTTAGCTTGTGGACCTGATAGAAGTCACAATTTGTATTCAATTTTTAAAAAAGTTTAAATATATCACCATTACACATCAATGAAGGTTCAGTTCGAATTTGTAAAAATCTGACCCAAATTGCTGTACAAAATGCAAAAGTATGTAATACCAAGGTTGTTGACACTCTAGACGTCACAATTATTATCTGATTTTGATGAAACTTGAAATGTATGATTATAATCCAAAGATCTTGGTTCCTTTCGATTTTGTTGCCTATTGAACCATAGCTTTCTGGATTATGGCCCAGGATTGTACGAAAAATTACCATCTAGAGGTCGCAATTTTTATCTGATTTTAAAAAACGTTAAATGTATCATCGTAACACCCTAATGACGGTTGAGTTCGAATTTCATGAAAATTGGACGGAAACTGCCTGACAAAATGGCCGCTCCTTGTAAGCAAATAGTGTAAAAGTATGTAATACCAAAGTTTTGGACACTCTAGAATTCAGTGTTCACAATATTTACATGTATTTGATTTTATTGAAACATAAAAAATTTCTTTATATCCCAAATATCTCAGTTCATTTCGATATTTGCGCATTTCAGACCCTAACTTCCTGGATTATGGCCCCCTGATTGTACGAAAAATCTTTTTTTTTTTTTTAGCTTGTTCTCTATCCATCTCTTTTAAAATGTGGGCGTATCTTGCCTGGCAATCGCTGGTTGGTTTGTGCAGAGAAAAGGATGACAGCAAAGACGATCAGTATGGTCTTTGTCATATTTTTCCAACCTTTCAATGGTTTGGATGATTTTTTAAATTTTTATAAAGAATCAGATCAGACCAAATAAAACACTATTTATGGATAACAATTACTATGGTTTATTTCACTGCAACGTTTAAACAAGATTTCACAAGTCGACTGTCGTTATCATTGTTAATACATTGCAGTTCAATAAACCATAGTAATTGTTATCCATAAATAGTGTTTTATTTGATCATGTTCCAATTACTAAATGGCATTCAAAGAATAAATCTGATCAGACGCTTATTACATATGATGCATTATCATCGGTTCAAAAATGGAGACACCTCATCCCCAGACGCACCTTACATATATGATGCATTATCATCGGTTCAAAAATGGAGACACCTCATCCCACTTCACCCCCCACCATTTACTTAAATGGAATGCTTACCCAAGAGAACATAACTGGTTGGAGGGTAAATAATAAGGGTCGCCATACAGGTTAGCTTCATACCAGATGTTACTTTTATATGAAATATTTAATTGATATGATATATTGTATTGTTATAGGTGTACCATGGTTGATATTTCCTGGTTTAACATTGATAGGTGTTGGTGGGATACCTTTGTTGATTACAAACACTCAGGTGAGTGAGGTGTAAATATAACATATAAAATCTACATTTTGAGTTAAAATGTTTAATACTGTATGCCTACATTTTGTTGAGAACCCTCCATTGGTTAGTGTCTTAACAGATTGGTTTTCAATTTTTTCAAAATTTTCTGTAATCAAAATGTGTAGTAATCCCTTTTATGTTAAATTCAAAGGGGGGGGGGGGGGATGGCTGATTGGTTAGCATGTGCGCGCTGTATCATTAGGTCTGTCATTGAGTCAACTGGTGTGGTTTCGATTCCCCAGTTGTACGTGACAAGGAGTAGGGTCGCTGGTCCCACCTCCTGGGTTTTCTCTGGGTTCCGGTTTCCTACCACTGCTAAAGACCCCTAGGCGCAAGCGAATTATTGAAATAAAATTGAACCATATGTTTGTCCCGAAATGACCTAGTTGGTGTCGAGTGGACATTAAACCCTCTCTGTCTCTCTCTCCCTCTCTCTCTGTGTTCAATTCAAATTCTTCTGAATGGAATTTCTAAAAAATTCTTTATTGAGACATAAGAAAGAACTCTTTTGAGTTTCAATGTCTAAAATTTTGTTTGGAATTTTTTAAAAATAAAGTGGGGTACGATAGTTTATACAAAGGAACACTTTCAAAATTCAACATTTTAATCATAAAGTTCATTTTATTACAAATTTTTAAGATACTGGTACTAAGTAGGATTATTAATTGATTTAGGCAAAAAGCAGAACAGTGTTGAAATATAGACAGTCCTTAACTGGAGAGTTTTCTCCATAGTTATGTTTTGATTTTTAAAGCTTCTGAATGTGATTCAGAACACAAAACATACTGGACTCTATTAAACTTGATTTTATAAATAAACCCCAATATGTTTTGAAAATATTTTGATAGATTAACTATTCTTTTTTGGCATGATCAGAAAAGATAAGATAATTTGATGTTATACAAATGTACAAACACCACAAATAGTACCATGAGGTAATACATATTTTTTTTATTTTAGATTTCTAACTTATTTCAAAGGGGTAGTTCTACTATAGTAGGTTTGATATGTGGTGCTTTTGATGGATCATCTGGTGTTCAACTTCTTGTTAAGGTAACAAATTCAGACTTAAGATATTTTATAAATATAGAATATAGGAAGCATCTGTGGCTAGTCTTCAATTCGAATGTGGATTATATTAATGGAATTCTAAACGATTATTTGAATACCTTTCTATTATTTCGTTCAGTTTATGTTAAATGAACAATACCATAATTGAATTGTTTTTGGTGAATTTTTAATATTTCTAGATCATATATTTTGCTTTATTTTTGAATATCAATTAATTTCATTGAATTGATATCTTTAAATATTTCCAACAGGAAACCTAAACCTCTATTTCCATTAGATATTTTTTATGTTAACATCAAATAAAAATACCCCAAAAATCAGTTTGTATTATCATAAAAAAAAACTATTAAAATTCAAATGTTTGTGTCAGCATGTGGCTGTTGATAATTCTTTACTTGATTTGACAAAATGGAAAAATTAAGAAATAATAAACTTTTCATGACATGACTACTGTTGTTTTGGTAGAAGGCTATCAGCTATAACAGTTAGAATTGTAAGGGTTAGAATTGTAGTTGTCTGTCTAATCTTATGGTTTTTCTCTGGTTTCTACAGATTCGCCCCCACTTTTAAACACATGCATGTGCAAGTAAATTATTGAGAAAAAAATGTAACCAAAATGACCTCCTAGTTAGTTTGGTCTATATTAAATAAATATGTATTTATATTTTCAGATTGGATATGAGAATGGTTTCTCTCGTCAAAACTCATATTTTGTTTTGGTTGGTTTACATACTCTAGTATTAGTTAGTACCTTTGTCTTTCTACCCAAAGGTTTCATACCTAAACCCCAGTCAATAGAAATATCAGAGGTGGAGTATGAAAAAGAAAACAATATCCACTTAACTCAAATAGAGAACTCAACAGAAACAGATGATGCAGGTAAGTTGAATATGATACAATCTGATTAAATTACAGATCTATATTTCGTTCCGTTTTTTTATACTTTCGATGGCCTCTACTACATGAAGATCTGACCGATTGTAGTGGGATGTCGCGTCAGGGGTCATACAAGCGGCTTTTGAACCTATGACATCAGACATTTGATTAACCAACCAGTGCTGATGTTTCTAGTGGAATACCCACAGTTCCATGCACAGCACGCCAAGAATTCGCTGTAACAGACTGTTTCACTGGCTAATCCGTCACATCAACCAGAACGCGGTTACATAACTTTTCCAGATCCTAGTGTAGTAAAGACAAGGAAATGAGAATAAATTTTGAAGTATATAAAACGAAACGAAATAGGATCTGTGTCTTAATCAGATTGAAAATGATAATACGTAAGTCTTATATATTGACAATCAACCATCATATATTATCGGTCATCACAGAACTGAAGACTTTTCAAAGCCTGGAAGTAAAACCGCTCTCCCCAACAATTTAGACTTTGTTAGGCACACTGTTGGTGTTTGGTATGATTCCAATTCTGTATTTAATCAGCTGAAATTCCACAGAACATCATCTGGTTATCCAAGCATTCACACACGATCAAATTTGGCCAATGTCAAATAATAACTAAAAGTTTGCATTTCCGCTAAAAGTATTACACAGCTTTAGATAGTTGTGAAGGACAAATTTACAGGATTGCAACAGTTTTATTTGCTAGAAATAAAATTTGGGACAACTCCTTTAAATACAAGGAAGGTAACTGAATAGTCAAAACCAACCAAAACTATTGGATTTATTATCCCTAGATATATGTCAATCTGTTTCACAGAGAATTACGAGTCTTCTAATATCTCTGTAAAAGATGACTGCCTTTAACACGTGCCGTCACAGCATGTGGCGTCAATCGTTGGCTGAATGGCGCTCCATTGTTTACATAAGGCGTTACTGATTCGGGCAGAATTCTGCCTTTTAGTCTTTTTAATACCCATTACACTAAATAGGAAAAAATTATTACCTACTAATACGTCAAACGTCTTTACTTATTTTTCTAATACATCAAAAAAATATTTTAGAATTTAATTTGTCGGTGGAAAAAAGTTAATATTTGAGACTCATTAAGTCACATTGATGTCATTCTTATCAGTGATTGTAGCGGCCTAGCGAATAATCACTGCTGATCAGTGTGGATATATGTATGTAGATATATTATTTTTGATTTAATCCTCGGCTTAAAATCAGACTAATATCATAGATGCATGTACCATATCGATAATTTCATCATCATTGTAATTTCAAACTTTTCAGATGAAGTCAGCTTTAAATTAGTTAAGAAGGAAAAATTAAGTATGATGGAGGAGAAGAAACTGCCATCTTTAAAGAGTTGTTTATTTTCTAGTACCTATATATTACATGTAGTATGGGTGTGTGTGTTACAGCTACGATTCTATTATTATATAGCTACCTTAAACCCATGGTTAAACAAACTTTTACATGCAGACCATAGTCAAGGTAAAGTGGAATTTATAATTTAAGTTCTGAGTTAGCATTGAATCTTAGCTTTATCAATGAATAATTCTATGTGGTTTTGTTTCTGTGATTGTACACATGATAAAGAGTAGGATAGTGTGTTTGAGCAAAAACAAGATAGGGGGTCAATTAAGTGAAGAGTGAAACCAAAATTGGAATTGTTTCTCTAATTAGATTTAAAGGGGCATGAGACAACTACAGGAGGTCATTTCCATACAATTTGTTATATTCAGTCCAATTCCAATCCCTACCTTTGAAATGCCAATCTGTGAAAATTGAAATTTAGTTTTTGAAATGCTATTTATAATTAAGCCCAATAGTGTTATAAAGAGAAACATCATGAGATTGTAAATTCCCCTCAGTTCTCTTGTAGTTGTCTTGTAATTTCCTATGAATACAAAATTTTTCCTTAGTCATACACAAGTATTCCTATTTACTTTTTGATATGTAAATTTGGAAGCTTGTAAATTTGGTCTCGGATTGCGCTCGTCTAAATTATCTAAAAAAAAACAGGAACCACCTTCTCAGTTCATGGTCCTTTAATGCTTAAATATTTTTTGATTTAAATATTAACATAATTATTCAATATGTTTTATTCTAATGTTGATCGTTTATGATAATCAAAGATAAAAATAATGATATAGATTAGAGGCGTTTTTGTTCACTTAACACATGAACTACCCTGATCTGGTGACAGCCACTCCTGGTTCTGATTGAATGAAAACTATACTGCTGATATGTTATAAAATACAGTATCCCATTAGCTGATAAATACATGCAGGTTAAATGAGAAGCTGTTATAAGGACATAACATTTGATGATTGTATATTTATTACTGTAGGGATTTGCCAATTTAAATATTTTATGAGTAGTTTTCCTCCAACCTTGATATTGTTTACTGATTGAGTTATAAGGCCAAAAGACTTCCGCTCAACTGGTTGTTATTCAGTTGTCTGACCATACTGATTTTAATTTATAACCTTTGAAATTAGAAAAACCCTACTGATCCACATTATCATTAAAAGAAAAAAATTTGAATAGGAAATTTATTTCATTAGGATTATTGTAGTAGATACTTTCAGGCCCTTAAAATTAATATTTCATAAGTTGTGAAGGATGATCGAAAAACTAAATTTTTCTTAAAAAACTGACAGCAATGCTAAGGCCTACTCTTATATCGAATTCAAACTGCCAAGGGATCTTTTACGTGCATGCCAATGTGTACGTGGGATCTCGGTTTTTCGTGCCATCCAAACGACTAGACAGCGAACCCACCACCTCAAGGCTAGTGAGCCATCATCTTTCCAACTTAACCACCGTGGGTATATGAACATAGGAGAAGATGACTGAGATCATTAACACCACTAGTGCTACTGGTGGGACGTTCTTATTCGAATAACACTGGCTAAACACTACTTCATGGACCGGAGATAAGTTATTTACAGTCAGGGCAGTTATATAAAAAAAGGACATGATATTTGATAATGATAAAAACATAAAAAGTCATGAAATGTCATAAAACTATTATAAAAATATTATAAAAATTTGATAAAAACATTATAAGAATCATAAAATTCCACGAGAAACTTTCATAAAAATATAAATTTATGAAAAAACTAACTATTATTTTTGTATTTTTAAATCCAAAAATAAAGGATTATTATTGTATTTAATGAGTTACAAAATTATTATTGTATATTTTCAGTCAGTTATTTTACCAATGTATCTATGTATTTGTTGATACTTGGTGTAGTTACTTCCCCTCTTGCTGGTATGGTATATGATTTATGTAAGATGATATCTACTGGTAAGTACTGACTTTGTGTGTTCTAGTTGATCGTATAAAACTACCATCTGTACCCTGTTGTTATGCAATGTGCCTTCATAAACTCTTGCTGATCTTTAATAACTACAAATTGTGACAGTTGTTATGTATGAGGCAGGGCATGCTTACGCTTTCTAGAACTCCTGATACCAGATATCTCTTATCACTGAAATATGTTCTATGGCAAGTTCATTTTGACATTTAATCTTTTCTTGTACTATTATGATATCTAAATTAGAAAGAAATTATGTTATTTTGGATTCGCATGTGAAGAAAATAGAACTAACTAATAAATCAGATATTATATTATTTTATTACCAATATTACAACATTTTGAGCCCATGTGCTGTATTTCATGTGCCTTCATGTTCATAAAGATTTTAATATCTTCAAAAGTTTCTGTATGGTAGTTTCTGTAATGAACACATAATTATGATTATCTAAAGATCATTATCATATGTAATTATATTTTCCAGGCAGCCGTTCTGAATTGAGACGTGATTTATTGCCAGCAGTACCACCATTAATAATAGGAAGTTGTTTAGGACTATTAGCATCAGTATTGGTATTAGTACCATCTACAGAAATATTATATGTTTTATTCATAACAGTTACCGTCTTTAGATCATTTTTATACTCTGTTGCTGCAGCATTTTTAAGTGCCATGTTAGTAGTTTTCTTTTTCATTTACCTTTGTTATATATGTGTATGGTTACTGACCTTTGTTACATGTGTATACAAGTCACTGACCGTTTTATTTCTGTATTGTGAATACAAGTCACTGACCTTGTTACATGTGTATACAAGTTGCAGACATTTTTTTATGTATATAGTTAATGACCTTTGAGTCTAACAAATATGTATGTTAACTTAAAAAAGCACAATATTGTAAACTAAATCCCAAACTGTTTCTTTCTGGAACACACTTTTTGTGGATAATCTCCCTTTTGACATTATGCGGTTATTTTCATGTAAACCCCATCTTAATAGAAGGCTTGATCTCTCTTTAACTCTGTACATCTTATCAAGCCCTTCATGTAATACCTTGCATATTTCGTCACTAGTTTTGATTGGCTACTGACTCAGCTGCGGACCCCTGATATTCCTTGATAGAAAATATCATCGCAAATACCAAGTCTCACGCTTTCCAGATAAAATGTCTATCTGTGATAATCGAGCGGCAAAGTTCGTTCAATGTCAGTGTGTTTGTGTCACGGTCTCTGAGTGGACAACACTATTGTTCATGTGTCTGTGGTAAAGGTAGATAACGTATCTATAAGTTCGAGAATTTCTGACTAATCTAGCAATGGCTAGATATTTTAAAACTCGCAGTCATTGCTACAGGAACATGTGTCAACCCAGGACTGTACAACTATGTGGCCTCACGGTTCCATTCACTTGATTTGATAGTACTTATTTTGTTCATTGCTTGCAGTTTCTGATTAATTTGTGTTATGTCACTGTGTTTACCTTCTGGGTATCTGAGTATTTCACCTGGACTTGCTATCACAGTCTTTTAGTTCACTCATATTAAAATGTAGTCTTATCAAAAAGCATATTGGTCCACAAAATATTAAAACCAGTCAATCATAATTACTTTCTATTTATTTCATAGCATTGAGATCAAATTGGCATCTTACCTGATGTTTTTTATTTATTCGTGTAGAATACTCTCTAAAAAACACCTTTGCCCTTCGGTTTTAATTTTGTCAAAAATTTAAATAAGGTAAATGCTTATTAGAAAGGTGAGATTTAATTTGACAATCAACACATAGTTTGGTTTGAATAATGTTTTCATTTTGATAATATCTTGAAGGTTTCCAAGTGAATATTTTGGTCTATTATATGGTTGGATGGTGATAGCTGCAGGAATATTTAGTTTTTTCCAGTTCCCATTGTTTAAATGGTCAGAATCTACAAACTTCACCCAGGTGAGTTTTTTTGTGAATTCCGACAAGCCAATCTAACTTATTCTTTGAATGACATTTAGTAATTGGAACATAATCAAATAAAACACTATTTATGAATAACAATTCAACCATAGTAATTGTTATCGATAGAATGTGTTTTATTTGAAGCCAGTCTATGTTTATTACCATGGATATCTGTATTACATAAGAAAAAAAACCTAATGTGATATCAGTTTGACATCCTGGCTAAAAAAGCTGGAATATCAGTTTTACATCCTAGCTAAAACTACTGCAATATCAGTCTTAAAATGGTTCAATTCTGAATCGATGATGGATTAGAAACTACTATAGTGTGAAATTAGAATCTCTAAAGGAGATATTAGTCTAAAAATGGATCAATTTTGTTCAATATATAATATATACATATATATATCCGAAAAATACAGATGGAACTCAGAAGCTTTATATATAAACCAAACTTTATTTGTTTCAGGTAAATGTATTTCTGCTGTGTTTTCTGTTTATATCATTGATACATCCATTCTATCAGTGGTGGAGATGTCGTAAAGCAGAATCATCTCTTTTAATAGAAGAAAATAAGACAGATAACTAAAGAAGAAGTCAAGCTGGTATATTATATATTTTGAAAATCTTTAAGATAATGTAAGAGTAGATATCAAAGGTCCATAGACTAAATGTGAACTAAAGGCGTCCGCATTTAAATTAATTTGACACGACATTTTCTACTCTTTATGAAAATGAGAAGTGAGTACCTTTATGTCATGTTATCAATGACATTGATCAATTTACCTTCAAGTTATTATCTGTTGATTGTTTTATTGTTTTAAGTGTTGTTAAGTTTATGCAGATTTGTACAGGTACTGTATGTTGCAGTATAAAGTTTAAACAATATTTTATTCAATAAACTGAATTGGATTGAACAACAGGAAAAGGCCGGAGTTCTCTCCAAAATGCTACTTGAATTTAATAAGACAGGTATTAAGTCGGATTCAATACATTAATTTCTTGCTCGCATCAATTTCTTGATTTACAGTAATAGGTTTGCAGTGATAATAGTATGTTTCCTATAGTGTTCAGTGAATGTTGATGTATAAAATTATATTTGAAGGAGTGTTTTTATCATAATTTTTATAATTCATACGTTTGAGGAAAGTATGTTTTATTAGAGAGTTCCATGAATATTAATGTATTAAACTATATTTTTGATGGAGTATTTTTATCATATAATTTTATAATGCATTTCAATTGACATTGTATTGTTTATTTTTGTTTTTGTTGCTTGTATATATCTTATTACCTCTCTATTGACAGTATTGACCTCCAGGACTTGGTTTTATCATAAAACAAATTTGTTTAAGGGTAATTATAAATTATAGTCAAATGAATTAATAATTTTGAAATCCATGACCAGTTTATATAATCTGCAATTTGTTGAATCATTTACATAAACGGAGCAGAACAGTAGGACATTTAACCCCATTTCATTTCATTTACATAAGACAGATGTTGTTAAATTGTTAATAATATATTAACTGACATGGCAGAATATTTTTATAACCTTCCAAAGAATCTAAAGACATTTATATCAGTTAGAGTAGATCTATGACAATTGAAATTTGCTTAAATAACCTACTATGTTTAAAACATACACTTTTGTCTTGTAATTATTTTGTATTTAATTGTCAGTACAGGTACATCTTTTATATACTGATGTCACAGTTTGGCTTGATATCTTATAGTTTTTAGTTAACCAAAAAAGTGACCATGGACATAATATTGTTGCAAGTAAAATGGTAGACACACATAATATACAATACAGTACTCCAAAACCCTAGGTATATAAATCAAAAAAAGACAAGAAAATACCAAATCAGGTTTATTTTGATAATGAACAGTTTGGTTGTTCCATAAAGACAATGAAAAATATGTGAAGCAGAGCGAAGCTATTATAAAATTAGACTCCATATGCAAATAAAGAAACAAATAAATATGTAACTGATGGATTTTTTTGTGATTCCCATGTACTAAGGACTGATTTTCTATGTTTAATCCGTGTGGATTTATATTGCATTTTTAAAGGAATAAACTATAACACATACTTATGGAAGAAAAGTTACTGATTTATTTCAGTAATTGTTCTTCCATAAGTATGTGTTATAGTTTATTGCTCTATCCAGTTACTAAATGCCTCTAAAAAGATTATTTTTAAAGGAGAGGTCCCAGTTTTCACCTGGTCTTTGAAAAAAACAGTTTGTAAGGAAATAGATTTTATTTACCTTGTATGCATGTTTTGAGCCATTTGGAAAGAATTGCTGAAACAGTTGACAGACATTACACTGCCAGATAAACACTGCTAATCAATACATTTTTAAAACTTAGCCAAAAACAAATTAAAAACTTAGCAGTAACGTACAAAGTTCTATTACTCACTGGACCCCACTCCAACACCACAAAATGAGGGTTGGTATATTTCTTTGAAAACCTATCTGAGTGCTTCAGATAGTTGTTTAAGATTAATATCAAGGATTCTAAATCCTTCCACACAGAATGAACCAGTTTTATTTACTGAAATATATCTGGGATTTATTCTTTATGTATGATGCTTTCCACCAATAGGTACTATAAAATTTCCATTGTTTGATAACAACAGGATGGAATCTAATATTTTACAAAGTTTATTTTTTAGGATGTATCTTTATATTTCATGTTTTATTTTCTTTTAATGTGTATGATACAGATCAATGAAAACCTGTGCTCTAATTTTTAGATAATTTTTTAGTTTATTAGACAAATGATTCCAGATAATTGCTTTAAGTCATCACCCTTGATCAATTTGGTAAAGCTTGATCGGCTAAATTTAGAATCCAATTGAATTTGTACAAAGTAAAGCTAAAAGTAAAGTCATAGTAGTAGTGGTGCATACAGTTTTAAGTTCCATTTGTAAGGTTTAAAATGAGTATGTATATTTATTTTTTTTTGAAAAGGGCATTGCCACTTAGAACATGAAAATAAATTTGATTAGATATATATATAATACCATCTTCAAAATAACAATCTATTTACCCAATTAACTATCCAAGCACTTTGAGTAAAGCATTTTGCACAGATATTTTGTATATGTTCTTTATTAAACAAACTAAGTATATTGAATTGCTTTTGCTTTCTAATCTAGTAATATAAAAACGTTATGCTTTATTTTGGTTTAGTTACGTTTGGTCACAACCCAAAATTTATGAGACGTTCAAATTGAATGCTAAATGACATTTAGAAGTAGAGGTATATCATTAATAAAAACATAACTTTTTGAATTTACTTGAACTGGAAGAGTATTAAAACATTGCATGTAATAAAGCAAGAAATAGTAAATCCGTAAAGTTGTGTTATTATAAAAATCTAGCGACAATTATTAAATTTATATTAAGTATGTTTTAAGTATATTATATTGGCAGGGATGATCAACTTTTATGATAAGTAATTCCCATAAATTATTTATGAGGAGTCTGGTGGTTGGACTAAGGATAATATAGATGTACTAAATACCTACTAATGACATATCACAGGGGATATCTCCTGTTAAACGGTATCTCCTAGGAAATACATGTATTGCTATTTTTGAATCTGTCGGTGTGACTTCTTTTCAATTTTATATGTCTACATTTAATGTTTTATCTATATTGTTGTCACCTTTGTCCATTTTTATGGATTTTTTTTCAAATTTGCAGGGTATATTAATGTGGTTCGAAATTCAGAACCTTTCAGTCACATCAAATCAGAGTTTGTGAATTTTTCAAAACTCAGTGTGATTGTTTATTTCAAATTTTGCAGATTCTAATTTTTCTGTTCACATTTTGTCAGTTTGGGATGGAGTTCATAGATTATTTTTTTAAAACTTACCCTGTAAGGTTTGATATCAGTGATATAAGAATTAGAACAGGGTGGTTCATTGTTTATGGGCCTTTTATTGGGCCTGACAAGACATACTTGTATTGTTTGATATTGATAAATATATTTGATATTTAAAAAGATGTTATTTTATGTATATTCATATCTTAAATATTGCATATAAATTTGTTTGCATATAAATGGCTTATTATGTAGTATTTCATTTCATATTTTGTTGTTTCCATATAAATAGTACAGACTTTGCATATAAATTCCCTATTTGTAATGTATATGTAATGTTCGCATTGATATTTGTTTTTTGCTTTTATAAATTTCTTTTAAGAATTACTACAAGTAATTTGACAGATCAGTACCGGTATTTTAATTTTAAAATTATTTTGTTTCTTTTAGTACAGCTAGTTACTAGTTAGACATTTTATGCTTACATGTGTTCGTTCTCTAGTACAAAATACTGCATGACATAATTATGTATGTAAAATTAGAGCAAAAGAACGGGATATGGACAGATTGGCATTTTTTTTGTCCCCTACCTTTCAAAGAAAGTAGCAGAATATTAAAATTGGCTTATCTGTCCATCCATCTGTCTGTCACACTTTCTGAATCCCTTGTGCCTGTGGGAAATAGTCCTATGAGAGACTTTTTCGATTTTTAGAAAAAAATAAGTACATATACAGGATAATATCAATATTTCAAATTTATTTTATTTACTGTTGTCATTTTAAAGTTTGCTTATTATTATAAGATATAAAAATAAATATATATTTTTAGTGTTCTGAAGCATTTGTGTATTTATATGAGGGAAGTTAAAATGTAGGTGTATATTGCCTTCGCCCCACCATATCCATCTTTTCAGCCCTAGTGGCCAGGGACCCTCCATATTGAAGTTAAGATATGATCATTATAAAATTTATATGACTTGTTAATGTTGAGCAGAATCTCAAATTACTAGTACATTGCTGGATTGTTTGGAAATATATTTATTCATTGGTATTGGTTCGAATCATGTCCAGATATCACAAAGCATTACAAATTTGAATTACATATGTAGTGCGGTCCTCCTGCACTTACTATTTGTATGAACGTGGGTAATAAAAATTTGCAAATGAATGAATGAATGATTGAAATGAGGTTTAACGTCCTATTTTTCGTCAAATAAATATGGTACACCTCATCCAAAACCGTATAGCTGAATAGATTTGTTTCCTGAATGAACGTGTAGTAGTAGTCTATCTATTATTGTCTCTAGTTTTTTAAGAATCCGAATGGTTGTAAAAGTAACGTGTTTTGGTCTATATTCTAAATGGACCAGAAATTATCATATCTGGTGTAAAATCTGAGTTTCGTTGGTTGGCAACGTGATCTCGCCAAATTGACGCTAGAGCCCCTCCTCCCTTCCGAATCCATCCCAAAGGTGACCAGTCAGTGGTCACAGGGAACGTCCCGTCCATATTCCTTGCCCACAGCCTACCAATCTCCCAAACAGAGTTGTCTTCCCTTGCAGTCACAGGGAACGTCCTGTCCATATTCCTTGCCCACCAAGGAGTATTAATTTATACTCCTAGTTGCCCACAGCATACCAATGGAGGCAGACCACCATTAAATTTCACCATCTCGGTACCGAATTGTAGTTCGTCTATTTATAGCAATTTTCTCTCTCTCTTTTCTCCTCTTTTGCATGCCCTTTTTTGTTGACTTTTTGGTTTAGAATGGACGAAGAGGGCTTGAATTAACATTTTCTGCCAGGTTTTGTAAATATTAATGATTTTGAGGCGGAAGGATAACGGGGTTATCAGGTTGGTTACGGCGATATGTACGGCAACTAGTTACATGTTTTTAGTATGCTTCTTCAATTTTGTGTATCTCAAAATTTTGGTGGTCAACCTCATACAAATTTTAGTGCAAAGACATGACCATTTGTTCCTCTGTTAGTGAAAAGCATTCAGCCCAACGAAAATTTGGGGAAAAGTTGGAGGTAGGCAAAGAGGCCAGAATTAACATTGAAGTCTGGGGAAATTAATGGTGGTCTGCCTCCCAATCTCCCAAAAAAGAGTTGTCTTCCCTTGCAGTCCAAACTTTGCTGGATAGCGAGACTTCTGTGGAGGTGGAGAGTGACAGCCTTAGCTACCAGACGCCATGCTCCTGAAGCAACGGCCGCGAGTTTTGAATTTTTCAGACCATTGATCGTGCCTTTGCCAGTCTTTACCACGTAATTGTACTCCATAGAATTGTACTCTATGTATTTCAATTACTACCGGTAAATGCCATTGAAACAATGTTTACCAAATGTTACATTAGTTTGGAATTTTTAACGGGGAATGGAAGAAACAATACAAGAATACTACACAGACAACACAATTTAGACGTCCTGACTCCATTGTTATTAGCAGGTGATGGAAAATGGCCCCGAAGATGTGATTCTTCCCCCTCGCTGCAATCTATCAAAATGAGTCAAAATCCCATCAAATTAGTGCGTGCGATGTCTCTTTTAAAACAAACAACGGTCTACATTAAAATCGTGCACTTTATTACACGACAGGGTGTGTGTGTGTGTGTTGTTGTTTTTTTTTGGGGGGGGGGGGGCTATCCGTCGAATCTTATTTTCAAGAGAATCTACAGATCTTGAAGATTTTGAATATAAAAGTCAAGGATCCCCCCCCCCCCCCAAAAAAAAACAACCCCAAAAACCCCAAAAAAACAAACTCCAGAAGAACATAGAGTCCACAATATATACATACTTGGTTAATGCTGACCAACCAGAGACACCGTCCTAATTACCTTGGAGGAAACCTAACTTAATTAAAGTAATGTAATTACGAAAGTGATCAAGGTTGATAAGGGTAATACTAATAACCTCATCCTAAATGGCATAGACCACTTTGCCTGAAATGAAAATACAACAAATTGATTTTAAAATGGATAACTTGTTGTTTCTGGGCCTTCATCAAGTAGACCCATCACAATAATAAATGTGAACAATATGGCTGGCTGTGTCTTTAAAGGTCCTAAAATACATTATCCAATAATATGCAAATTCAGACGAAATACAGACATAATGACATTATAATGACATTATTTCAGACCAAATGTTATGACGAACTCGGAAGTGTATATCACAGCAGGATTCTTGAGTTATTACCAAATGATCCTGCCAGTACATGATTCTGAAGAAAGGTTTTAATCTTCCCCACCCCAAATTACCTGCATTAGTATAGAATTTTTTTTTTCGGGGTTTTGATTTTTTAAATTTTGATTAAAATAGTATCTGTGATATGATAAAACCTTACGCATTTAGACTGTATACCAAATCACGTTACTTTTAGAAACATTCTGTTTTTTAATAAAACTAAAGACAATAACAGATAGACTACTATACTCTCATTCATTACCAATTTATTATTTCCCAATTTCATACACGTGACGCATTGTTATCATAACCCTTGTAAATTCGAGGTTAGTTTTATGACTGCTTCACCCCACAAGTTTGCTTTTATCCAAAGATTTAATATTTAATTTTTATTGAGAATCGGACATCACTAAATTGGTGAGAGATCAAATTTATAATAGAGTAGTCCAGTAGATATATAATGTAAATTATCCCATAATTAATTGTACTAATTAATGTAATATCACGATTATTGTCATGTACTATGGCTTGAAAATTCAATTCATTTCAGTACGCAGTATTCTTTCGAGAGACCATCCATATAATTGGTTGCCACTAACGTTGTTTAGTCTGGATGGTCGAATTCAGAAGCGTTTAAATTTGAAGAAAATATCAGGGTCTTTTTGTAAAATCAAAAAAAAAAAAATCAACCAGTGACCAGATTCTGACCTAGGGACCCTAATCACTGAAAAGATAAGGGTACTCCATTATAATATATAATTCTAAACAAAAAAAGCAACTGAAGTTGGGTCCTCCGGTTTCCTCCCACAAACGAATTATTGAAATAAAATTGAAATGTTAGTCCCGAAATGACCTAGGTTATGTCGGGTGGATGGTACACCCCCCCCACCCCCAACACACACACATACTCACCCCTCCCTCCCCTCCTCTCCCTCTCTCTCTCTCTCTCTCTCTCAGGGTTGACCAATACGAAAATCTCACCGAATCTTGTTAGCAAACAGACCTATGGTGACAGTCTGATTTTAAGAGTAGTCCAATGAGAAATTAAAATGAAACGATAGAGGAAAGATTGTGAACAGTCTTTCTGTAATATTATAAAATTAAGGTATATTCCAACCCTAATACATATCTGAACGATCATTTGCTTCCATGCAGGATTATTAAATTTGCATTCACCCGTCGTTCATCGGTTATGAGAAAAAAATATCAATCCTCTTTGTTGTTTTCCAAAAAAGCCAAACACATTGAAAGTGTTGGTAATAAATATCATTACAATGTACTTTAAAAAGACGAATGCAGAGTTAATCTCCATCCGACGTGATGGTAAGGGTATAAGTCTAGATTTTTACCTCGACTATAACAATATGTTTGTTTATTATTTACAAAAGTTGAATTTTGAACTTGGGTTCGAAAAACAAGAGTAGACCGCCTTGTCAAACAGCACATATTGGTCAAAAATATATTAAAATCTATCGTAATTTATGACCATGTATTGTCCACTGACGTCGCTACAACTTCCAACACCCATAACTTCGCCCAGAATAGAGTGTTTTGAATGAAATTTTCAATATAGTCATTTTTCATTATTTATTTTGGAACTATTGTGGCAAGAACGACCAGCTCTTAGTCTAAATCTTACATAAATCATATTAAAAGAAAACCCTTTCTGTTTTTATTTTTTGAAATTTAAATACTGAAATGACCGGTAGCTAAATCTCTATTCTTTGGAAACTAAAATGGTCGAAAATAGCCATAAAAACACATATTAATGTAATATGAGGGCATATAATTTACATTTACTTTTTAAAAAAATGATTGTAATTTCTAACCAGTTTTGTTCGTCAAATTAAAAGCGAACAGTCCATATGGAATGGCAGTCAGTCATGCCTGATAGTCCAGTCTACGATTTGACATTTCACTTACGTACTGACGTTTAGCGAGAGCATATAGTACACGTCGACGTGTACTGGTTTTAGCATTTGATATTAAGATCCCATATGTTTATGGCAAGATAACACCATCACTATTGAATGGAATGGATCAATAATCTGTGTTTGTAATGTCGAAGACTCAGGATAATATTGAGTTAAAGCTTTATGCCCTTTAATATAAATGTACACGCTCTGTGAGAAGAGTCAAAATCACAAAGAATCTCCGAATTACAGGTTCATTTCCTCAGACAAACTATCTATGGTATAGAAGAAAATTAAGAGAATGTTCCTTGCAGCAACATGAGCACCAGTGTCAAGATGAACCTGCAACTACCGTCCAGAAATATGGGCCCTTCGCAAAGTGTCCCTGAAGCGGAGGCGAGCTCTTCTTCGCGCAATTCCCGTAACAACTTAAAGAATTAACGAAGGCAAGGAATTGCTTGTCAGAAATTCATCTGTAATAAAGTAGGACGCTAAATCTCATTTCATTCGTTCATACATTCTCACATTCATCTGTAACAAAATGTAACTAATATATAGAAAAAAATATCGATAAAAGTTTGTTTAGATTGCTGATGTCCCCACACTGACGTTAAGACAGAGCGTATCTTTGATATGTGTTGTTACCCAAATATTTTGTACCGTGCAAGAATTGTATCCTTTATTTCAATTTAGATAAGGAGATATTAATTTTTATAGTTTTTTATTTTATCACCGATGATCAAATATATCATTATGCAAATAGTTTAACCATTCAACGATATTTCATAATTTATGCACTTCTAGTGCACTATAAAAGTTAAAATGTTTCCTTTATGAAGGTGGCGGGGGTGTGAATAATAAAGATATAGTTTATTCTTGTAGTCATTCTTGAAAATGCGGAAACAATTTAAGAAAATTTAAATAAGTAAGACAAAAAGAAACAAAAGTCCTGTAAATATCAGTTCTATTTGTTATTAAGCGTTCGTGCTATTATTTCAAGACTTTTCCACTACACTGGACTACTTAAATTTGTTATGCATGTGTTCTGTTATGAAATTCTCCCACTTCAAAGTAGTTGGGGGTGCTTTTACCTTTGTTCTATTGAATATAATATAATATAACGGACAAAAAAACAATACCAGTCAAAGAAAATAATTTTCTACATTACCCGTGACCTGAGTTAGGAAGCTGTAAAGACATCTAACAAACCCGGAAAAACTAAAGCAATACATGATGAATTTCTCTCAAAGTCACAACCGTTCGTTTGCCAAACGACCTTCGACCCAATAATTCGCGCGATTGAACCACTTACGGGGTCTAATTTACACAAAGGCAAATGTAATTGTAAATATTAACTGCAGAGATTTTTTTTTCATAAATCCCTCCTCTAAATATGCGAGCGGAAGCTATAAATACAGACACGATCACACAAAAGTTTTCAAGCTAGCTTAGTAAAGACATGAGGTACTCCACGACCAAGAAGACCATCATGGCCATATGGGCCGTGGTGGAGACACTATTATTCGGGGGGTTAATATTCGGCTGGGGATCTGTTGTTTTTGTTTTAAAAGATTCTGGTGTGTATTCCCATCTTTGTGATTCTAGAAGAGACATTGGTTTTTCTACTACAGCCCAAGAAATAAAAGGTTGTTCTGAGCAAGATTCGCGTTTATCGTTAGTGTTTGCTATAGATTCGGCTCTGTATGGTTTGGGATGTGCTGTGATTGGACACATTAATTATACATTTGGTACTCGAATAACTCGAATTATTTCAAGGTAAGACTTTGTTCTAACTAGATAGGTAATGATATAAAATATAATTAACGCACGCTTTCGATGAGAGAGAGAGAGAGAGATTAATGTCCACTCGACACAAACTAGGTCATTTCGGCACTAACATATTGTTTAGATTTTAGTTAGTCTTGAATTTCTAATGACGTTTGATCTCCATAATATCCCAATAAAAACAATTATGGCATAATATGGTAATAAATGCCCACTTCTACAGCGCCAAAACTCCACAAATATTGTGCTAGTAGCGCTTGACAAAACATATCTACATAAGGTCTTTAGCCCTCAGTTATAACTTGTTTGAAACAGATGAGTTTTTGAAAATTTCTTAAATGATAATAGTGACGTACGTGTATTGGCGTAGATTAATAGGCCATGAGTTCCACCTTATAGCAGTGTCTACTTTCAAATAAACGATAACCAAAATTTGCCATCCTGTAAATTGGTATGACCAATTGATTTACAGATTTCGATCGCAGATTTTTCTATTGAATTTAAGATTGAACGAGTTCACAAAGACATTTAGGAGCGGTGCCATTTACACATTTAAAAGTTAGAGTAAGGAGTTTTAAATCTATTCATGCAGAAACAGGGAGCCAATGTAGATCCTTTAGAATGGGTTTTATGTGGCTGATCTAGGAGATTTGGTAGAGTTCTGGAAGCGTTGTAGACACTAAAGTTGGCATTGTGGAAGATCTACAAGAAGGCTGTTGCATTAGTCGACGGGGGGGGGGGGGGGGGAAGAATTAAAGATCGGGCTAGGGATGAAGCTGAATCCTGAGTTAGATACTTCCTGATGTTACTGATGTTTTTTAAATGAAAGTAACATTTCTTCAAAAATCATCAATCTGTGGAATAAAAGATTAATTACTGTATAGTAAAACACCAATGTCTTGACTGTATAGCATTATTTTCGAGCTGCATGGAGAACGATTTTACTTGAGATGATGCAAACGATGATATAATATATAATTCTATAAATGTAAGATAACATCTTACGATAATTAATTTGTTCAAAAGAATAATCGTACACATCATTTGAAATTGATCATCTGAATATGAAATGACGTTTGGCCTTTATAATACCCCAGCGCCGTTTTGGCGTAAGATGAAGATTAAACAAAAATCTGGATGTAATTAGAAGTATTATTACCCAAATTAACTAACATAAAATATATTTATTTATGCTTATGTAAACGTGCTGAATAAAAACTCTACTTATTATATCCGTTATTCACAACCATAGTATGTTATATGCAGAATAATCACATACATGCATTTAACTCAATGGGGTTCGGATGTGGCCCACAATAGTTTTTCAAACAAAGGAAAACAATAAGATCACGTGTTTGTGTACACACAAATTGACCTACCACAAAATATAGGAAATCTGGTTATTTAGGGAATTTCCTTCAATTCAAAGGGTATAATTTTGTGTTCGAACTCCTGAAAATAAGAATATATACTTTGTCCCGTACATCCGCCATTATAACTGAATTCCAACTGTCAGGGGATCTGTTATGTGCACGCCAGTGTGTATACGGGACCTCGGTTTTCCGTCCCATCCAGCCGACTATCTCCACAAACGACACTGGATAATTGTATATCCTGTAGCTGACATCATAGGGGGCAGGTAAAGACAACAAGAATATGAATTATTTTATCATCCATATGGGGAAAGTCGTCAATTTAACCGTACAATCTATAAAAACAATGCGATTAGAATAGAAATTAAGGCAATGAAATCAAGTGAATGTAGGAAATAAATAATAAATTTAGATTTAAAGTGGTTATATCATTTTTTTAAAAGAAAATAAATATCATAAAACTTGTTGGCCCAGTACAAGATTTATATTTCTTCATTTTTGACCAATAAGTACATATCCTAAGAAAGATGGATATAACACATATTTAGAATAATTTTAAAAACAAAGAAAAAACATCCCACAATGTTTAGATTCATTAATTTATTAGATGTATAAATATATCAAACTTCAGTAGTTTTTCAATGGACATCATATTATAAATATCTGAAGACTGAATATTGCCTGTGTTTTCGTTAAGTAATCTGCATATGCCAGTACAATTTGGTCAAATTATTTGAAGCTAAGTTAGCATTAAAATCAGAGCTGTAAAGTAAATGAGATAGTTAAAAGAGGTCCTGGCGCTCATGTTAGTATAGATATAAATCAAATATATCGTAAAATCACCAGAGGCTAACATCCATTATGTACACATTGGTGGACATGTAAGGGAAAACTGCACAGTTGGATGCCTCCCCTTTAAAATTTTAACACTTGTGCGGGGTTAATAGTCTTTAAATGTCTCAATTCTTTAATTCTTTTATTTACAGTATTATTTTTATGACCGGAACATTGCTTATGGCATTTGAAAGTCAAAGTAAGTAATCTGCTTTTGAAAAGGCATAATATATAAAAGATCACCTTCTTTAGAATAATTATTTTATTATATTTTAATATATTGTTTTTGTTATTTCTTTTATTATCATTATTACGTAAAATTATTGTATAGAAATAATCCTATCATAGATTACGCCGCGGTGTCCAAATAAATTCTACAGATCCAAAAATATTTTAATCCTATTAATTTGTCCCCTTCAATTGATCTCAATGTCAATTGCATGTTTTAAAAACACCCCCACAATGTCAAAATGTTGACATACGTCTGATATAATTTAAACCTTAACTCGTATGACGGAAGATATGTAATTATAATATTACCGACGATTACATCGCTCGGGTTACAAATCAATCGAACATGCATTATGCAAGAGCTAAATCTGCCAATTGCATATCTTTCTTTAGGCCTGAAATGTTATCTAAATTATTAATTAGACATTAATTTACTTATCCAGACCATAATCAACTCTAGATGTCATCGCTAGCCTGCGATATTTTCTGAATTAGAATCCTATCTACTGCTTAACGCTCATTGATAATTAAATCAAGAAATGGATAATTGAGACATTTTTTTTATCGTACCGACTTTAGTAATGATGATCGAAGCTAGACCCAAAATTCAATCGCTAAAATCTCGGCTCAGAGTGGATCAATTTGACTGAAATTTTCAGCAAATTCACTTTACATACTGCCAGCTCTTTATCTAATCTTCCATAATGTATCTTTAATGCATCTTCGCCGAACAATTTTGTGTGTACCTTAAATTCGGGAATATCTTAGGTATTTCATAAAAAAAAACCCTCAGTTATCAGTCAGCGAACACAGTCAATGTTATTTGGTTTTTACATAGGAACTTGAATAAAGCGGAAGTCCAAAAATATAAAGTCAAACAAAACAATCCCACCACAAACGGTGAAGATAAAATAGATGTGATTTAGATTAATTTACGTTTACAAGAATGAAAAAGTTCAAACCGATGTTTTTAACTTAGTTACTAATAACCATGTTAACAAGATTTATGAAAGAAAGTGTACGTACGCTCGTATCTCATAAGTCGACGGAGATATTCGGTAAAACTTATAATTTTTTAAAATAGAAATAGTAACTATTTAGTATAGATCTTAAAAACGGAGACCACTCTTTAAGATACATCTAGATAACTGTTTTAAAATAGAAATAGTAACCTATTTGGATATATTTTTAATTATTATGAGTTGATTTGAACTTGTATTTACGTGTCGTTTGTTGAAGGTTTACCATGGTTGGTGTTTCCGGGTTTAGCTTGTTTAGGTATAGGAGGAATTCCACTCTTTATAACTAACGCTCAGGTATGTTTTTTTAAATAATTTATTTACTTTTAAAACATTTTGACACGTTTAAACTTTTAAAAATGTAAACAATATTCCAGGTTTCGTTTGTTTAGTGTTTTAAAATAAGTTAAAATACGTTTTGGATTTCAAGCCAGTGATTGTAGAAAAAGAAAGTTTTATTCAATAAACATTGCAGTTTTAGAAAATGTTAAATTTCTGAGATGAAATTTTAACATTGAGATAAGTGAGAAATTACGAAAAATGGTTTTTATTTTGTTGGTATACAAATATATTATACTGTTTTCAGATTGGAAAGCTCTTTGAAAGAGGGGGCCCAACGTTTGTTGCACTTTTATCAGGAGCAGTCAGTACCTCAGCTGTGGTAGAGCTTGTAGCAAAGGTAATGTTTTCTGATTGGTATTTTAGTTGAAGGTACATGAGTTTCCTACCCAGTGTGCACTAAAGGTCGCTCTTTTTAAAATGTTAGGTCTGTGAGAAATATAAGTCTCGTAAGTAAAACTATACTGAATGGTAAATTAAATTTTGATCATTATATCAAAGATACAGGACGTTCACGTTGGTGTTAAAAGTCTATGGACAATTACACACAAAATATTATCATTATAATTATGTTTCATAAATCGCACTATACAAAAACATAATGTTAATTGCCCCCACTGTGTCATGTTTACTAACTTGAAAACCGCATTTAATTTATTTAGATTGTTAATTACAATACAGGTATATGGGTCATGGAACTGACCCAAAGGTGAACACAAGACATATACTAGTACTTGTTATCTGACAACACTTCCTTATACTATCACCATAATACTATATTATAATCTCCTGAAATATAAATTTAATTGTTCTCTGTTTCAGATAGCCTATGAAAATGGGTTTGCGATGAAACATTTCTACCTGTTGTTAACAGGTTTATACAGCATGACTTTCGTGTCCACCTTCTTCTTTCTCCCCAAGGATTTTATCACTAAACCCACCGAAACACTGTTTGATAAAACATCTAACAAGAAAGAACAGATTACTGGCATCAGTTATATTTATTCCCCAGAGTTTGAATATTACCAGATATATAACGGAAACAAAGGTAGACAGTATCTTGTGAAATATTGAGAAAAAAATGACCGGCGTCTTCCGAGAGTTCGGAAAATACATGTATAATATCATTTTCCATCTGGGATGATTGATCCCCCCAATCTGTTTGGATGATAGTAGTCAGGATGTCTGAGCAGTGGATTAACATAAAACCTCGTTTGTCGATATTCAAACTTGAATCTCAAATGTCTCCAAAACACACATAAATTTGATTAAATAGGTTATCTAAATCGAAGTTAAGATATCATCAATGAATATGCCTGAGCAGTGGATTCACATAAAAATGTTCTGTTTTTTTTTTGGTTTTTTTTTGATATTGGCGAATGGCGAAAAACGAGCTAGTCGTTTTTCGATATTCAAACCAGTCTAAAACACAGATCCTATTTCGTTTCGTTTTTTATAGTTCAAAATTTCGTTTTACTTGTCTTCACAACAGTAGAGTTGTTATATAACATTCTAGTTGATGTGATGAATTAGCCAATGAAACGGTCTGTTACGGCAATAGTGGGTAAACCCATAGAAACGTCAACGCTGATTGATTAATCAATGTCTGACGTCAGAGGGTCAAAAGCCGCTCGCATGACCCCTGACGCGACCTCCTAGTACAATTGATCAGATCGTCATGTAGTGTAGGCCATCGAAAGTATAAAAAACGAAACGAAATTAGATCTGTATTTTAATCAGACTGTATTCAAACTTGAATCTCAAAAATCCAGATTTGATGGATGTACAGCAACAAAATGTCTCCAAATTACATTTGATTAAATACGTTTTCTAGAACGAACTAAAGATATCATAAATGAGGATGCCTGAGCAGTAGATTCACATAAAAACTGCACTTTCAGAAGCGGTCATTTGAATCATGTTTACCGAAAATGAGATTAGACCGCACTTGTCCACTCTTATTCGAAAGAAAATATCAAAAACTACATATGTGACAACTTTCACCTGACATGAATGGGTTTTTTTTACGGAAAATCAAATTAATCAGAGAGGTTATAAAGACTGTGTAACAGGCAGGATTTTTGATTAAGAATTATAACAATAATTAGAACTGATATATTCTAGAAATTAAACTGCATATACGGCGTACAATAATTATTGCAATTTTAACAAACAATCCTGAACGATTCACATATTTTTACTGCCATCTTTCTATTTTCAGGACAGCGGTACACGAGCAACAATAAACCCCTGGCTATAGAATATGATGTAGAAATATCTAAAAGTTTACCTTCATTAAAACAATGTTTAGTGTCTCAAGAATATATATTACAAGTTTATTGGTTTTCTGTACTACAGTTACAATATTTCTACTTTTTATCATCTATGAACCCCTGGTTATCAGAATTATTCCATGGCGATCAGAAACAAGGTAAGTATAAAGCTAGATTGAAAGATGATATTTATAAAATAGTTGTCATATTTCCGAGTATCTAAATTGGCGAGAGGGATCACGGTGGCTAAGTGGGTAAGACGTTGGCTCGCTAGCCTGGAGGTCGGGTGTTCGATGACTGCATTGGCCTAGAAAGTTCATCCAGATTTTCCGGCGTGGTTCTCCATTGTCAGTTAAGCATGATGGAGGGCCTGGCAAAGACAGCTGTCTAGTCGTTCGGGTGGGACGAAAAACCGAGGTCCCTTGTACACATTGGCGTGTACGTAAAAGATCCATTGACAGTTGGAATTCGATATAAAAGTAGGCTGCAATACCGCTGTCCGGGCAAAATTTCCCTCATAGCACACTGTATGGCGTATGCCCATCTTCATTAGCCCAGTTAGGAACAGAACAGTAGGATGTTAAACCCCATTTCATTTCATTTTATTGAATTTCTAAATTGACTACTGAATTAAAGATGCATTCTGTAAGAGCCAAATCTGCCTAATGCATCTAGGCGCATGCCAAGCCCACAATCTTCTCTATAGACCATCGGATGCTTTTGGCGGTTAATAATTTAATTTAAAAATATAAAATCGTGACTTTGTTTATTATCCTAATAAGTAAGCAATGATAATCTAGACTACATTGTTCTTCAAACGTCAATAACTCGTCCCAGAATGAAGTAATTTGATTATCTATTCTTATTTCATTATCTAGATTTTTATTTATTATAGCTAGAACTGTCAGATCTTTTTCCAAATCTTGCATAATGCATCTTTAAGTAACATCTAGAAAATTGTGTCCTATATATATGGAGCGAAATTCAAGACATAATCTTAACTTTTAACCTTGTAATGTGTATCTAATATAAAAACTTCCATGCATATAACGTATTACATACATGCCGTTGTAGATTGGCTATTTACATATGTAAAAATGCTAATAAATAGCTTATTGCTTTTAAACATAGCAGTTGATTAAAACAACTAACTAAATGTACCATTTTTTTTATCTTCAGTGAGTTATTATACCAACGCTCTACTATACCTAATGATGGGCAATTTCATTCTTTCGCCGATAGTTGGTGCACTTTATGATTGGTTCAAACATTATTTTGAGGGTAAGGAGAAGTATAATACTATAATAAGTTCTCAATCTTTATATGTAGTGAAATGCTATACGTATGTACTGTAAAGATTTGGAATTATGAAATTATATATGTAGATGTTTTGGTTTTTGTTATAGGAAGTCTATCTAAGAAACGGAGAGAATTGATGCCAGCCGTTATACCTCTGATGTGTGGGAGTCTAGCGGGAGTTACACTTGCTATTTTAGTTTCCATACCAAGTACCTCAGCCACCCTAATACCAACCTTTAGTGTATTGGTCGTATTCCGTTCTTTTGTTTATAGTTCACCTACATCAGTATTCAGTGCCATGTAAGATTTTTTAAAACAATGTATTATTCGGTCAAAATTACCTTCTGACCGTAATAGAGTTAGTTTTTAACGGATGTTTTTCAAATTTGGTATGAAGCATTGTCCTCATGAGAGGACGAACCCATCGATATTCAGCATTCTGCGGCCTTCCGTTCTCGAGTTATCCTCGCTTCACCGAAAACACTCGTCAATGTGATTGAGGCTACAGTTAATATATTTTTTTTCAAATTAGGTGTGTAGCATTGTGGTCACGAGTAGACGATATTCAGCTTTCCGTTACCTTCCGTTCCCGAGTAACACGTCCTTTTCCGAAAACCGCGTGATCCCGATAGCGGCTATATATATTCTTTAATGAATTTGTTTCGACTTCAGTGAGAATCATTTAGGTCATGAGAGAACGAACGCTATCAATATTCTTTCGTTCCAAAGTTACGTTCCTTTTTTCGAAAACCTTGTAAAATTTGGTTGACATCCAATGCTGCTGTCTATATGGCTATCGCTTTATGGAGACAGCTGTGTATCAGTTTGATACTGATATGCACAGTAACCCCATATCTCCGAGAACTCAGTCTCCCTATTCGGTCCATTACGGTATTTATAACGTTCCTCTTTAAGACTTTTATAAATTGCTGATAATGGACTATTTCATATTAATAAATTTTCATATTTTTCCAGATTTCCTAGTCAGTACTTTGGTTCATTATTTGGTATAATGATAGTGTCGGGTGGTATTTTAGGATTGTTTCAATTCGCGTTATTTACATGGTCAGAAGCTACAAGTTTCTTACGGGTGAGTGTTTCACTTTGAACAGATATCGCAATTGCGTGCCAATAGTGTTGAAAACCGCATTGAAGCCACATGATTTTTTTGTCATTCAAGGGGGCTCAAACACTATACCTATGACGCACTTTGCGTCCCCTTCGCTTGTCCCCTGTATTTAAAATAAACAAAAACCCGACAGTTAATAAACGAGGATTATAGAATGTGGAAGTAAAATAAATGTTATCTTAATGGTTGAGCACTTTTATTTATTTATTTAAAGGTAAACCATTTTCTACTAGCAGTGATTTCAACAACTTTTATTCATCCATTATTACAATGGCGAAGTTGTCGAAAAGCCGAACAGAATGTGACAAACAATAACAACAAGAAAGAGACAACGGCTAACGACTGCCAACACCCGCCATCTTTATCAGCACCATCAACATAATAAACATATGAACCAACATATTATATCTACCCTTGTAAATGAATGTAAATAAAATGTGGTAAAAGTCCTTTAATGATGTAAATTCTGTGTTCAATTTATGTCACTTGTAGTATACGTCTACAAATACATCAATCCCAGTTGATGAGAATACTTGTTATACTAATACTAAACAGCAAAATAAACGTCAGTACGATTTCAAAATCAGAGAGGCACTTTAATCAAATCATTCTAGAAAACGACTTACTAAATGGATCAAAGCAATTTTATGTGAACAGTATATTGACACATTAGTGATCAATTCATCACAATTCCAAGATATTACGAGAAGGTTTAGATTCTGTACACAGTCTATACATCGGTATCTTGGTGTCCACCGCGAGTGTCAATAACAGCAGCGAAGCGTCTGTGCATGGAGTGGAGTAGGAAAGCCTGGCGCAATCCATCGGCTGTGTTTGGTCTCGGTAAGACGTTAATAAGTCTCCTCTGAATTTCACCCCAAAGATGTTGCAATCGGGTTTAAGTCCGGACTAAGGGATGGCCAGTGCATAACGTTGACACCGTTCTGCTGTAGAAAGTCCCGGGTAACTCTGGCGGTGTGGAAACGGGCGGTAAGTCATGCTGGAAAACCTTGTTTCGATGACGTACGAAATGTGGTATGACGTGGGGTCTGAGAGCTTGATCGATGTAGCGCACTGCTGTGATGCCGCCTCCCTTCCATGAACCGAGATTTTGGAACACCCCAGGACCATCTCTCTGGTTCAGGCCGATTCAACCCATTATACTTGGACCTCCTCGTGAGTCTTGTTCCATGACATATTGGCAGAATAACGCTGGCCATGACGACTCCATATTTTGGTCCTGCCATCTGCAGTTGATACGCAATACCGACTCACATCTGTGAACACAACAGTTCTCCATTGTCTGTGTCGCCAGTTCTGGTGTTGGTGGGCAAACTGTAGATGTTCACGTCGATGGTGAGGGGTGAGGATCGGTCCACGGTAAGGTCTACGGCAATGGATGTTCTCTCTGGTGAGACGTTGGCGCACTGTATCGGTACTGATAGGTCTTCCGTGTGTTCCCACTGTCTGACGTGCTGTCTCAGATGCCTGTGTGAAGGGATTCTGCACGTGCTGTCGCACAATATGACGGCCTTGTTGCCTTGTGGTAACCCTTGGACTACCAGTTTGGGGGCGATCGTCCGTAGTGTTGGTGGCCCGGAAGCGTTGCTGAAGCCTGTAGATGGTCCGAACATTGACCTGGAAGTGATTGGCAACGACTTGGGCAGTGTGGCCAGCGTCGAGTCTTCCAAGCGCCTGGTTCCTCTGAGCTGTCGTGAGTCGTGGCATGCTGCTGACGTTGTAGTGTGAATGATTCAACCAGGTATGGGGGTGCATTTTTATAGGGTTGGTCCCGGTGAAAAGCACGTGCAGCATGAGTTCCATGAATATCATGGAGAACACATTACCATCTCAGAAGTCAGGTTGCGTTTTTGAGAACATTTCCTAGGTTCAATTCTGTGTTTGGGAAGGAGCCCTATTGCTCAGGTAAAGTTGGAGATGTGGACACAAATATACAATAAAATATTTGGCAAGTTTTATGCAATGCGTCTATTCAGAGTAACATACCAACCTGACGTTTCTTTTGCTGCTTAGTATATTAATTTGGTGGGGTTACTTGTCATAGACATAACAGAGGGAGAAACAGTCAGATCTTCGGTTTAACGTCCTACTTTTCTGCACCAACTGGGATATAAGACAGGCATACGCCATATGTACAGTGTACTAAGAGGGATATTTTACCCCGGACAACGGCGAAATGTGTACACGAGACCTAGGTTTTTAAGGGCTAATCCCGATAATTTTTGGAGAATAAAACTGCTTAATTTTGTGTTAAAGTCCCTTAAAATCCTCTAGCTAAGGGCCGAGCAACAACTCAATATTTGTGATACGTTTTCAAACGACTTAAACCGGTCAGTCTTCATCTGGAAATGGACACCGGTGTCCCAAGCTATACTATGCGCTCTCTGGATAAAACTAGACATTTTTTTTATAAAAATAATGTGTAGGTGAAATTTACTTTTCGTTATCAAGTACAGCATGTTGGTCATTCACTGTATAGACCGGAATCGATTATCAGGTCAACCAACGAAAAAATTGACCAGAAATCTTAAAAGGGTTACGTGTCCAGATAAACAGTTATGACGTTCACGTCCAAACGACTCAGTATTTTGAGCTGGAATTTTGAGGCAAGGTAAATACACCATTCCTCTATATTTTGGCGCTTAAATTTCATACGTACTCGGACTTTTATTTTTGAGACTGTTCAAATCGGGATAGTCCCTTTAAGTCCCATCTGAACGACTAGATAGCTGTCCTTGCCAGCTTTCCTGCCTCACTGACAAGGGGGGGGGGGGGGGCACGAAGGAAAATCTGGATAAATTTTCTTGGCGAATGCAGGGATCGAACACCCGACCTCCAGACTAGCGAGCCAGCGTCTTACCCACTTAGCCACAATGACCCCCCCCCCCCCCCACGGCACCACGAACTCCTCTTATACCAAAGTCTTCACGGGACCTCAGTTTTTCATCCCATCCGAACAACTAGACGCTGTTCGTGACAGACTCCACATTCTCCGCCACTGGCAAATGGAAACCACGCTTGAAAATCCCGGGGAACATTCTCATAACAAAATCACAACATAATTTAGACGATGTCTAACCTGCCCGAACAATCATAATCCATATAGGCTTACGGTGTGTTTTCATTATCTTTCAATGTCCAGCTATTTCGTTCATATGGCTTCCTTGTAGTCAAATTTAGCTCTTTAATAATGTATCTTTAATATCTCGAAATAAATTATACTATTAGGTCTACTGTGTACTACTGTACTTTATATAAGGTAGGTCTATCAGTTTACTTTTTAAACTGATGAAGATTAAATACCAATCGAGCCAAACTGTGTACTATACCAAGTCGTTGTGACGTATATTTATATTAGTAATGTTGTCAGACATATCCGGTCGAAACAGGTACATGGATCCAAAACATTTTTAATTTTTCCGGGTTCAGTAAAGTAGGTAGTTTATATAACACAAAATGACGCATCATCTATTGCTATGAAATTGATTTATATTCAATTATTTTTTAAAATATTGTAATTTCTAATCAATTTATTCGGTTAAACATACATTATGCAAGAGCTAAATCTGCCTATTGCAGGTCTTTCTTTATGCCTAAAATGTTATATTAACTATTAAATAGACATTTATTAACAAGAGAGAGAGAGAGAGAAAACAGACCTATGGTGACAGTCTGATATTAAGAGGAGTGTAGGGAGAAATTAAAACGAAACGATAGAGGAAAGAGTGTGAACAGTCTTTCTGTAATATTATAAAATTAAGGTATATCCCAACTCTAATACATATCTGAACGATTATTTGTTTCATGCAGGATTATTAAATTTGCATTCACCCGTCCTTTATCGGTTATGAGGGGGGTTGGATGGCCGAATGGTTAGCATGCGCGCGCTCTATCATAAGGCCTGTCATTGAGTCAACTAGCGTCGTTTCGAATCCCCGGTTGTAGGTCCAAGGAGTAGGGTCGCCTGTCCAACCTCGTGGGTTTTCTCGGGGTCCTCCGGTTTCCTCCCACTGATAAAGACCCCTACGCGCAAGCGAAACAATGAAATAAAATTAAACCATATGTTAGTTCCGAAATGACCTAGTTTGTGTCGAGTTGGCGTTAAACTCTCTCTATCTCTCTCTCTCTCTCAATCCTCTTTGTTGTTTTCCAAATAAAGCCAAACACATTGAAAGTGTTGGTAATAAATATCATTACAGTGTACTTTAAAAAAGACGAATGCAGCGTTAATCTCCATCCGACGTGATGGTAAGGGTATAAGTCTAGATTTTTACCTCGACTATAACAATATGTTTGTTTATTATTTACAAAAGTTGAAGTTTGAACTTAGATTCGAAAAACAAGAGTAGACCGCCTTGTCAAACAGCACATATTGGTCAAAAATATATTAAAATCTATCGTAATTTATGACCATGTATTGTCCACTGACGTTGCTACAGCGTCCAACACCCATAATTTCGCTCAGAATATAGTGTTTTGAATGAAATTTTCAACATAGTCATTTTTAATTATCTATTTTGGAACTATGGTGGCAAGAACGACCAGCTCTTAGTCTAAATCTTACATAATGCATCTTAAAGAAAACCCTTTCTGTTTTTATTTTTTGAAATTTAAATACGGAAAATGACCGGTAGCTAAATCTCTATTCTTTGGAACCTAAAATGGTCGAAAATAGCCAAAAAAAACACATATTAATGTAATATGAGGGCATATTATTTACATCCACTTTTAAAAAAAATTATTGTAATTTCTAACAGTTTTGTTCGTCGAAATAAGCGAACAGTCCATATGGAATGGCAGTCAGTCGCGCCTGATAGTCCAGTCTACGATTTGACATTTCACTTACTTACAGACGTTTAGCAAGAGCATAGAGTACACGTCGGCGTGTACTGGTTTTGGCATTTGATATCAAGATCTCATTTGTTTACGGCAAGATAACACCATCACTTTTGATTGGAATGGATCAATAATCTGGGTTTGTAATGTTGAAGACTCAGGATAATATTGAGTTAAAGCTATGCCCTTTAATATATGTACACGCTCTGTGAGAAGAGTCAAGATCACAAAGAATCTCCGAATTGCAGGTTCATTTCCTCAGACAAACTACCTATGGTATAGAAGAAAACTAAAGAGAATGCTCCTAGCAGCATCATGATCACCAGTGCCAAGTTGTACCTGCAGCTAGCGCCCTCAAATATGGACCTTTCGCAAAGTGTCTCTGAAGGCAACGAATTGCGTGCCAGAAATTCATCTGTAATAAAGCAGGACATTAAATCTCATTTCATTCGTTCATTCATTCATCTGTAACACATGTAACTAATATAGAAAAACATACCGATAAAAGTTTGTTTAGATTGTTGATGTCCCCACACTGACGTTAAGACAACAGAGCGTATCTATAATATTACCCAAAAATTTTGTACCGTGCAAGAATTGTATCCTGTATTTCAGTTTAGATAAGGAGATATTAATTTGTATAGCTTTTTATTTTATCACCGATGATCAAATATATACGGTGGCTGATAAGGGACATGAAAAATAATATAATTTTATTTTTTTTAATATTCACCCAAGTCAATTTTAATATAATTTGTTTTTTATAATTTCCCCCCAAGTCAATTTTAATTTGCACCAAAGTCAATTTTAATATAATTTGTTTTTTATAATTTTCACCCAAGTCAATTTTAATATAACTTGTTTTTTTATAATTTTCACCCAAGTCAATTTTGATATAATTTGTTTTTTAGAATTTTCACCCAAGTCAATTTTAATTTCCACCCAAGTCATTTGTAATTTAATTTGTTTTTTATAATTTTAATTTCCACCCAAGTCATTTGTAATTTAATTTGTTTTTTATAATTTTAATTTCCACCCAAGTCAATTTTAATTTTCACCCAAGTCAATTTTAATTTTCACCCAAGTCATTTGTAATATAATTTCAATTCTGTTGAATTTCCACCCATTGCGTGATGTCATCTCAATTAGCCTCGTTTCCAAAACACTAATTTTCGCCCGCCATTGGGAAAATAAACGTGCAGGGCTCGACACAATCTTAGTCGGGATCTGAAAGTGAAACGTATTGAAATAAAATGAAATGGGGGTTTAACGTCCTACTGAATGCAGTATGCCAGAAGGGAAATTTTCCTCTGTCAGCGGCACGACATGAAAATTCAACTGTCAAGAGTTATTTTACATGCTCGCCAATGTACTAGGGGCCTGGGCCCTTATTCACGAAAACTTAAACTAAGATACAATCGAAATTTTAAGAAATACTGCAATTCGATTGGCTGACCAATATGCAAATTGGATATATGCAAATTGATTTTACTGGTCAGCCAATCGAATTGCAGTATTTCTTAAAATTTCGATTGTATCTTAGTTTAAGTTTTTGTGAATAAGGGCCCCGGGTATTGATATAAGCATGCACCCATCATAGACAACGCTATCGAACATCCAGACATAGAATTCAGCGCAGTTTGTTAGAAAGAAATAACAAAAAACAACTTGGCCTATGTGCACTAATGAATGATGGGTCACACGCATGGTTCTTGACCTTACTACTGGAAACAAACACAGATAGCTTTGCCATGAAGTCAAAGGGCCTCTTTTCTTACAGGACACAGAGGGTCTCTTTTCTTGGACTTGGGGCACTTCAACTGGATTTGGTGCTTCCTTTCAGTTTAATTTTTGGATATTTTCAAAAAAAGGTTTATTACACTTTCCAATATAGGCCTATTTATATAGCAAATCTCCCCAGGGCGGTTCTCGCAAGATACTTGAATCTATATTTTGGTGGGTAACATTCACTCGACACAAATTAGGTCATTTCAGGACTATAATACGACTCTTTCATTTCAATAGTCAGTTTGTGCGTAGTGGTCTTTAATAATGGAAGGAAACTAGAGTACTGGACGAACAACCCTACTCCTTGCCACATACGAGCCGGAAATCGAAACCACGCCACTTGAATTATGATGCAATGCACACACGTTAACTATTTGCCCCTCCCCCCTTTTTCAATTCTGAAAATTTAAGGAAAGTCAAGATTTCTTCCCTTTGATTTAGAGATCTTGTGATAATTTCAGTCCATAAAGTATAAATCAAATGTAATAACAGGCCTCATTTCTGGCTCTGATACGTTGACAGGCCTGCTTGGGTTCACATCAAATATCTATTTGATATAAGGTAAAACATAATCTATTACAATCTGATACATGTAATTACAGAATGAGAAAAATATCTCTTTAATATAAGGTAAAACATAATACATTGCAATCTGCTAATTACAGTATGAGAACCAGCGGTTGCCAGGCAAGATACGCCCATATTTTCAAGAAATGGATTGAGAACAAGCAAAAAAAAAGCTATTTTTCATACAATCAGGGGCCATAATCCAGGAAGTTATGGTCTGAAATGCGCGAAAATCGACATGGACTGAGATATTTTCATCAAAGTTTGCGTCCAACCTCGTGGGTTTTCTCCGGGTCTTCCGGTTTCCTCCCACTGCTAAAGACCCCTAGGCGCAAGCGAATTATTGAAATAAAATTAAATCATATGTTAGTCCCGAAATGACCTAGTTTGTGTCGAGTGGACGTTCAACCCATCTCTCTCTCTCTCTCTCTCTCTCTCTCTCTCTCTCAAACTTTGCGTACGAGCGGCGGCCATTTTGTCCGGCAGTTTCGATCCAATTTTCAGAAAATTCGAACTCAATCATCATTAGGGCGTAACGCTGATATATTCAAACGTTTTTTTTAAATCGGATAAAAATTGTGACCTCTAGAGGGACTACAAGCTAAAAACGAGATTTTTCATACAATCAAGGCCATAATTCAGAAAGTTAAGATCCGATAAGCGCGAATATCGAAAGGAACCAAGCTCTTTGAGCTATAAACATGCATTTCAAATTTCATCAAATGATAATTGTGACCTCTTGAGTGTCCACACGCTAAAAAAAGGTGACTTTTCGTACAATCAGGGGCCAAAATCCATGAAGTTTCAATCCGATACATGCCAATATAGAAAGGAACTTAGATCTTTTGGGGATAAACCTATATTTCAAGTCTCGTCAAAATTGGATAAGAATTGTGACCTGCAAATTGTTGATGGACGTTCGGACGGACAGTGGTGACGACAATATACGTCCACATGAAAATGTGGGCGTATAAAAATATCTATTTGATATAAGGTAAAACATAATCTATTATTATCTGATACATGTAATTACAGAATGAGAACAATATCTCTTTAATATAAGGTAAAACATAATACATTGCAATCTGCTAATTAAGATAAAACATAATACATTAGATTGGAAACGAGGCTAATTGAGATGATGACATCGCGCGCTGGGTGGAAATTCAACAAAGTTGAAATTATATTACAAATGACTTGGGTGAAAATTAAAATTGACTTGGTTGAAAATTCTAAAAAAACCCAAATTATATTAAAATTGACTTGGGTGAAAATTATAAAAAACAAATTATATTAAAATTGACTTGGTTGAAAATTATAAAAAACAAATTATATTAAAATTGACTTGGGTGGAAATTAAAATTGACTTGGGTGAAAATTATATAAAACAAATTATATTAAAATTGACTTGGGTGAAAATCATAAAAAATAAATTATATTAAAATTGACTTGGGTGAAAATTATATATAAAAAAAAACCCAAATTATATTAAAATTGACTTGGGTGAAAATTAAAATTGACTTGGGTGAAAATTATAAAAAACAAATTATATTATTTTTCATGTCCCTTATCAGCCGCCGTAAATATGGGGTGTTCCCACTTAGCCGGCAGGCTTTGATGTCGAATTTTGCCTCTAATCCAGAGTTAATCTTAGAACAATGGTGTTATAAACTATAGTCCATATCTAAAACTGTATTGATTTTAACAAATTTAACTTTTATTAAATAACATTAAATAGCTTACACATATAAAAATATATTGATTTTAACAAATTTAATATTTATTAAATAACATTAAATGATTTACACATATAAAAATGCATTACAATTTACACATTTAACTTTTATTAAATAGCATTATATAATTTATATTGTGTATTAAATATCGGCCACCTCGATTATTGGAGATAAAGCGACTATTAACCTGAACGTTTGCCATTTTAAAATAAATATAATTTCGACACAGGTCGACCATCTATTTATATTAATATAGTGAATTGAATTCATGTTTGAAATCATAACGCCGGCATGAACTGTGTTCAAAATGTCATTAATTAGTTGGTTAATAAATTTTATTAAGAGGGATTAAGAGAGCTCATTAACGCTGAACACTAGTGAACAGTTCTTGAGTGACTACTTTTAAACAGACTATAGTTTTAAGATCAATCAAAGGATTAACAGTCTGCCGGCTAAGTGGGAACACACCGTAAAAATATCATTATACAAATAGTTTAAATATTCAACGATATTTCATAATTTATGCAGTTATAAAATGGATTATATTACTTCTAGTGCACTATAAAAGTTAAAATATTTCCTTTATGGGGGTGGCGAGGGTGTGAATAATAAAGATATAGTTTGTCCTTGTAGTCATTCTTGAAAATGCGGAAATAATTTCAGAAAATTTAAATAAGTAAGACAAAAAAGAAACAAAAGTCCTGTAAATATCAGTTCTATTTGTTATTAAGCGTTCGTGCTATTTTTTCAAGACTTTTCCATTACATCGGACTACTTAAATTTGTTATGCATGTGTTTCGTTACGAAATTCTCTCACTTCAAAGTAGTTGAGGGAGCTTTTATGGAATATAATATAATATAACGGACAAAAAACAATACCGTGACCTGAGTTAGGAAGCTGTAAAGACATCTAACAAACCCGGAAAAACTAAAGCAATACATGATGAATTTCTCTCACAACCGTTCGTTGATTTAAACAGTTCGATTTGTTTATCTGTAAGGAATGACTCCATTAAGGAAATTCTGCTACATTTCGTCGTTTTAAGTATGTTTTTGACATCCTTTGATATTTTTAACATATGGCATTGATTATATAGCAAAATTGCCGCAGCAGACTGATCATCATGACCCACACGACCTATTTCCTATATAAGATCCACAATATCTCTTGGCAAACCAAACAGCAAAACACCGTGACAGTTTACCACATTAATGCCCATTCCTAAAGCACTTGTAGCAATTATAATTCTTAATTTGCTTTGTTCCATCTTTTAAACTTTGAAGAATTGTATTTTTTTGTTCATCTGGGGTTTCAGAGTGATACATATCAAATAAATCATGTAAAACTGGCAATTCTGTCACAAGTAAGTAAAAATATAACAAGTAAATCATGTAAAACTGGCAATTCTGTCACAAGTAAGTAAAAATATAACAAGTGTCTTTAATTGATGTACAATATATAATTGTTCTTGGGAATTTGTCTTTAAATTCATTTAGTCCGTCTACTAAAAAGCACAGAGCTATTTCCATTTCTTTGTGGACTTGTTAGGCGAGAGCACCACCTCTGTATAATCCCCCTTCATATTCAACACTTTGACAACCCTCTTTCTTATTTTCTTAATGCAAGTTACACTTAGGGCTAATACTAAAGCCTGTGGGAACGAAGCTCACCTATGTAAGAAAACCATTTTCTAAAGGCAGCTTTTTGATTATCTTCATCTTCACCCCTGTAATATAATAAAAACATTAATAGTATAGTTGGTCATACCATTAATTTGTACTGTACATATTTAAATCAATTTGGGGGATCACGTGGCTAAGTGGGTAAGACGCTGGCTCGCTAGCCTGGAGGTCGGGTGTTCGATACCTGCATTGGCCGAGAAAGTTCATCCAGATTTTCCGGCGTGGTTTCCACTTGACAGTGATGCAGGATGGAGGGCCTGACAAGGACAGCTGTCTAGTCGTTCGGATGGGACGGAAAACCGAGGTCCCGTGTACATATTGGCGTATGGAATTCGATATAAGAGTAGGCCGTAGCGCTTGTTGCCCGGGCAAAATTTCCCTCATAGCACACAGTATGGCGTATGCCCGTCTTCATTAGCCCAGGTTAGGAGCAGAACAGTAAGACGTTAAACCCCATTTCATTTAAATCATATTGTTTTTAAAGATTATGTGTTCATTGTGTGGAAGTTGAATTTTGCCTGGAATTTGTCATTATGTAGGTACTTATGACCTCGGTATTTTACACCAAGATACATGCATGTTTGACCAGTCCTAAATGCACATGTAAAAATATTTTAAACATACATGTATTCTACTTACCAGGTTGCAATAGTATGGAATTCATCGATAACAATCACTTTAACATTAAGTCTGCGTAGGGGTGATCTCCATATTGGATCACCAACTAAGGTTTTTGGCGAAGCATAAATGAAATCAATTTCGCCATCTTCTATCATTTTATCTGTTTCTGTGTTATCACCTGTAGAAATAGTAAGAATTAACATTGACAGTTTTAGGCTATAGATTATCACTATCGAGAATATAGTCTAGCTTGGTGGAACACGGTGCCACAATCTGATTAAAGATAGGTTGCCAGGCAACAAAACACAGCAGCTAAATCGTCCGAGGAGTCGACAAGAGTTAGTGAAGGGTAAGTATTCTTAGTGAAGGCTGACTTGATCTCGTGGCCGCTTCAACATTGATAAATAAAGTCGACAACCCACCATCACGACACCACGACAACCCGACATCACGACTTTTTTACGCGACATTACGACATTCTTAATGTCGTGCTGTCGGGTGAAAATGTCGTAGTGTCGGGTTAAAAATGGGTTGTCATGGTGTCGGGTTATAATGTCCTGATGTCGGGTTGTCGCCTTATGAAGGGCGACACCACGAAATCACGACATCATACCAATCAGCCACCATATATAATAAACAGGTGCATAATTAAACATGTGCTTCACTACATATACAATAACAAATTACTTTCTCTAATAGTCCTAATAAAACGTTCATCGACATAATATTTCCCCACAAATGTTTTTTAACATTGGCCTATAATGATTAATACACATATACGAAAACAGTCAATTATTTAAGAAAACTTTGATATCAACTATTCCAGTTCATTATATTAAGGATGCATTATGAAATATTTAGATAAAGGGCTTACCACTCACGCTACATGGATAATGCCGAATGTTAACATTTAAACTTTCATTCAAATTACTTTATACTGAGCGAAGATGTGGCATTGATTATTATCGTAGCAACGGTATCTATTATTCGAGACTAAACCTCGATTCACCAGTTTTGAATTAAATTATTATTGTGTTTCAACCGGTTTTAAATATCCGCCATATTATAGACTTGTCATGTGAATAAATGTATACATAATAGTTTGTAACAATAAAAACCTGCAATTGGCAGATTTAGATCTTACATAACGCATCTTTAAATGTGAATTAATGCTTCAGTGGCGAGATATTTGAATATTTGAAATTGTAATCGTACCACTCTAATTTATCTTTTCATTTTATTTAGTCTGGGGCTCGGTGCGGAGGGGTGTCCATCAAATGGGCACAAAACCAGGCCCAGCTTTGATTACTTTCGATCATTTTCAGCATGTTTTCATGATACAAGAATGGCTGCGCATTCATTTTCAGTGCAAATGACCTCGTTTGACCTGTGGCCTGGCATTGTGCCCATTTGATGGACACGCCCACGCACTGAGCCTCCGGTCTATTTTGATAAGTGATAATGTCGAGATATGCGTTTTTCTCTCACCCATTTCTTATAATCTACGAGGAACTTAATGATGTTGATCTATTGAAATACATATTGACTGAAATGTCGATTAAGAAGAGCTATACCTTTATCCACAACGACGACCTCGTCGGCTGGGAAAACCAGAGATAAAAAGATCTTTGATCAAAAATGCTCTGGAACCTAGTTTCGAATCCAATGCCTTGGAAGATATACTCGAATGGTATAGAAATTCGTTGTGATTGATATAAACAATAAATGTGACCAATTGTTGTTGTTGACAACTAGAAGAATGAATTACTTTTTAACTCCCGCCTTCATCGTATACTCGTAACGTTAATACAATACTTTCCCTCTATACTTCGAAACGAGGGAAATTTTAATTACACTGATTTTAAAAGTTTTAAATTTTTATCCATTAGTTAATTTAAACAAATTTCGATTCCCGAACATTTTATGAAACAAACAAACATCGATGTCGCATAATGCAGAGTGGCTCCAGAAAAGAGTCATGGAATTTAGGGCATTTTATTTTGCCGACTAGAAATATTTTCCCCGGGAATATTATATTGATTATTTGTTCTTTTTTTCCCTTTAACCTTCTGTCCAAAAAGTCCATGGATAAGTTCTCTCCGTAGAAAATGCCTCAATAACAAACATTTTGTATACAACTCAAAACGCTCTTCGAAAAAGGCATAAGGCTCAGTCAATTTAAATATGATGAACACCAAACTTGGCATGCTTGTTCCTTGGATAACTGTTTGTCGATTGATGGACTTCTATTTTTGATAACTGCAAGAAGGCGGCGATGTCATGCTGGTGGATTTCTGGTCTATAGTACTCTCGTTCTTGTTATAGATCTAGTGGAGGAACAACACGGCAAAAATTATATTCACATTCGCCATTACAATAAAACAAATCAAGAGATATAAATGAAATGAAATGGGGTTTAACGTCCTTCTCTTCTTCTCCAAACTGGGCTAATGAAGACAGGCATACACCATACAGTGTGCTATGGGAGAAATTTTGAATATTTTAAATACATTGTAATTGATATTAAAATCATTGAAATATATTTTATGTTAAAAATTTATGGAAACTTTGGAAGACCATTTGGGTCAATCAAATAAAATAATACGAGATAGGTATCTTAGCTCGTAATTACTTATCCGAATATTTTAAAGGTCCCACCTGTCTTAATGAGAGCATGGTATGAATGGGAGAAAATGTTTGGACCAAATATTGGGGCCGTATTTGTTTATATTCGTTTTAAACAAGCAGTCGACATCTTTTAGTTTCACCGAATCTGTAATTCGATTGAATCCAAGCCGGGAGATTATATGCGTTGATAATTTGATTTTATTTTCAAAATAATCAATTTGAGAACATTTCAGTGTGGATTAAGCCATGAAAAATTTGATATTTCCCCAAAAATGCAAATAATGATTAGCAGCGTTAATGAATGGTGCAGAAGGGAGGGTCTGGTATTTCTTTCACTACATTCTAGTATTTCTGATCAGCCCTACACATTATAATAACCGAACTAATACCAATGTATCTACATTTGACAAAAGGCATTTCAACAATGTCTATATTATTAAGTTTTTAAAAGCCAGATTTATGTGTAAATACCCTAAATGAACTCACTCACTTCTTCATTCATGGGCACGCGTCCAAATAAAAAACGAGCTAAAAAAAAGCCCCAACATAATCTATCTTTTGAAAGGAACACAGGGATGAAATTAAGTGATACATTTATATGATAATTATTATTAAGTTGAGATCGTGTCATGTTGGTCAGCAGAATCAATAGGAGACAACTCTTGTTTATGTCCTTGAATAGAATAATAATCTTACAGTCTCTTACACTATGAATTTCCAAAAATAACAATTAACATTAATTTATCAAAACGTGACAGAAAATACAAGTTGAAACCCTTTTCTTCGTTACGAAACCAAGGGACAAAAACGAGCACAACGGAAAAGTGGGAAAAGACGAAAGGGAAAAAAGACTATAAATCGAAAGATCAGAGATTTTAGTGACCTGAATCCGTTTAAGAACTAAGCTTATTAAAAAGAGTCTTATCCCCCTTTACACAAAGTCTCATTGAAATACGAAGAACCTGTTATTGGAAGCTACACCCGCGATAACTTCCCAAATAATCAAGAGGAAATATTAGATATGTAAGAAGACAGTAGACGTCGGTTCATGCACTACACTCGTCAATACGTATGGCTATTTTTGGGGTGGAAAATCGTGTCTTATATTTCAGAACTCATATTCATTAGCCCAGTCATGGCATATCGTATATTTCAAAAGCAGGGGCTACTTCACAATAGCAAAAACAGATACAGTACCCAGTGATTTTTTTCGCACAAAAGAACAACATAAAGTGGTAGCTATACAGACTGGCAAAATAAAAGTGGTATCAGTCAATCCATAAGTCTAATCAAACGAATCATTGCGAGGAGTATGCCTGGACATACTTTTTACATAAAGTAAGCGCAGGCCAATGACCTTTAACAATCTCCAGACAATAAGGTATACCAGAATAAGAGAAATTGTTAGCCAAGTAGATTTTCCAGATCGGGATAAGATGCCGAGCTGTTATAGAAGTAATAAGCACATCACGTCTCGTGCACCCGCCATTACTATTTTACTGACTTAGCCGAAAGTAGCTTATTGACAATGGGCATCAGATATTATTATTTTTTTTAAAAGATGTTTATTCTGCTTTTTTTTTTAAAAAAAAAGTCTTACTAGATAAGGTCTATGTGTTTCCAATTTTTAAAGAGAAAACCACCAAATACATGTAAACTGATGTATTAAGCATGGTATAAAAGGAATCGCAACTATATGTAATTACTTTCTGACGATCGCTAGACTTACAGTCAACATATGTTTACGACATTGATTCATCTTCTAATGGAAATAAAATACTCAATCTGGCTACGCTCTTCACATCTTACAATATTGCCAAAGTCATTTGAAAGATGCTCGTATCATCAGCGGGTCTAGTTTACCGTGATTAACACTCAAACGGCCCTTAGAAATAATTGATCATATTTTTGTATTACTCCTTTTTATTTGGGTGACCACGGTGACTCAGTGAGTAAGACACTGGCTCGTTAACCTGGGGTTCCTTGTTCGATCCCTAAGTTGAAAGTTCATTTTCCGCCAAGGTTCACTCTTGTCAGTGGGGCCCGGCACGGGACAACGTAATATAGTTGTTCGGATGGAACGAAAACTCGAGGTCCCGTGAACACATTGGCGTGCACGTAAAAGAAATTTGGACGGTTGTAATCCGATTGAAGAGTAGGCGGTAACAAAATGTCCCTCAAAACACACCATATGGCGTATGACCGTCTTCATTAGCCCATTGTCTGCGATATCACGTCGGTGGAAGCGGACGTAAAATACAACTAACAAACAACAACAACTTCATTAGCCCAGTAAAACGTTAAACCCCAATATCATTTCCTTTTTATGTGAAACGCTCCATCGTGCTATTGAAAAGTGTGCATTGTAACCCAAGATTACACTATTGAGGGTCCTTACGTTGATTATTACTTACTTAGTATTGTGTTCCTATCTTATACCATGGTAAGGGCTGTACTGTACCTTTCGCTTTGTGGTGGGGTGTCTATAAAATTAAGCCGTATGTATTTAAACTGTTAGCTGAATCAACATAAAGGTGGGCGGGGGGTGGGCAGGACTGGAAATTAAAGCCCGAAAAACTTCCCGTTTACAGACGGCCGCAAACTCGTGAATACAACAACTTTAATGTGGTCGAATATAGTCTAACTTAGGTGGCTAGCCGAGAGTCAAGTAACTTCAAAGTTGTCCAATGGTTTTGCAACAGAAGTCCCACTCTTTAAGATACTTTAGTAGTTGTTTGTTAGCTGATTTATTACAAAAAAATGTTTGTGTAACATTAGATTATAAACCATTATGCATTATTATTTATATTTCACGACGAGAAATATCAACAACAAACAGTGGCGTAGCCAAGATTTTTGTGAGGGGCGGCTGGGATGTCGACGGCATCCTGCTATCGCTGTAGACTCTAGCATGCTTGAGGAGGAGTTCGTGGAGGGGATTCTCTCCCAGAAACAAATTTGAAAATCTGGCTCAGTTTTCTGGTTTTTGGGGGTCATTGCTGGGAGAAAATTCTTATGAACGAAAGGATCAGAAATGAGACAGAACCTAGAGATCTGCTTGTCAATTCTGTCGCTTTTGTGAGACTTAGTATAAGACCACAGCGGAGTGGAAGAATGATAATATAACGGAATCGAGCGCCTACGACTCGAGAAGATTATAGATAGCTATGCATAATATGTAATATACTGAGCTTTTCATATTTTGGAACTGGGCAAAACGACGACAAATCAAATTTGTGTTATGTAGAATGGGTATGGACAGTAAGGTCAAAACAGTCACGGCAAAATGTACCCCAGCAATTTTGGACCCAGTTGTCCTCACTTTAACCTGTATAGTCCGTCATTGATGATCTTCATGTAAATTTAAAGCTTAAAAGACTGTTCAACGATCGGAATAATACAGTTTTAGATGTAGCCAACACGTTCACAAACCAGTATAATTTAACAGTTTATTAATACGTGCATGTGCATTATGCCTTCTATATTTTAGCGATATATTCGTATTAATTGGGACAAAACAGTTTCCTTTTATGTAATTTGAAAATTGATATTCAAGGCAACGAAGTGGATTATCCAAAGATAATATAGATATTAATGCGTTAACACTGTTAACCAGGCTCAAGGAGAGGGGTGTAGCCGGTGCATCGCATCGGATCCCATTTGTCTATCTCTAGCACACAACATTCTGTCGGCGGCCATGCTATTGACAATCTAGTTACGCCCTTTGTCAGGCCACGTATTATTTGGAAGGCTAGTAATGGACAGGGTTCTGTGCCATGTTATTATTTTTCAGCCTCTTAAAGATGCATTATTAGTAAGTGAAGGGGGACTGCACCACACACAAAAACTTATACTAGACAAACC